TGGTGGACTCCAAGGCTTCTTGGGTCGTTGATTCAGCGGCTTGAGTGGTCGATTCCTCAGCTTCAGAGGTGGTGGACTCCAAGGCTTCTTGGGTAGTCGATTCAGCGCCTTGAGTGGTCGATTCCTCGGCTTCAGAGGTGGTGGACTCCAAGGCTTCTTGAGTCGTGGATTCAGCGGCTTGAGTGGTCGATTCCTCGGCTTCAGAGGTGGTGGACTCCAAGGCTTCTTGAGTCGTGGATTCAGCGGCTTGAGTAGTCGATTCCTCAGCTTCAGAGGTGGTGGACTCCAAGGCTTCTTGGGTAGTCGATTCAGCGGCTTGAGTGGTCGATTCCTCAGCTTCAGAGGTGGTGGACTCCAAGGCTTCTTGGGTAGTCGATTCAGCGGCTTGAGTGGTCGATTCCTCGGCTTCAGAGGTGGTGGACTCCAAGGCTTCTTGAGTCGTGGATTCCGCGGCTTGAGTGGTCGATTCCTCGGCTTCAGAGGTGGTGGACTCCAAGGCTTCTTGGGTAGTCGATTCAGCGGCTTGAGTGGTCGATTCCTCAGCTTCAGAGGTGGTGGACTCCAAGGCTTCTTGGGTCGTGGATTCAGCGGCTTGAGTGGTCGATTCCTCAGCTTCAGAGGTGGTGGACTCCAAGGCTTCTTGAGTCGTGGATTCAGCGGCTTGAGTGGTCGATTCCTCAGCTTCAGAGGTGGTGGACTCCAAGGCTTCTTGAGTCGTGGATTCAGCGGCTTGAGTAGTCGATTCCTCAGCTTCAGAGGTGGTGGACTCCAAGGCTTCTTGGGTAGTCGATTCAGCGGCTTGAGTGGTCGATTCCTCGGCTTCAGAGGTGGTGGACTCCAAGGCTTCTTGGGTCGTGGATTCAGCGGCTTGAGTGGTCGATTCCTCGGCTTCAGAGGTGGTGGACTCCAAGGCTTCTTGGGTCGTGGATTCAGCGGCTTGAGTAGTCGATTCCTCAGCTTCAGAGGTGGTGGACTCCAAGGCTTCTTGGGTAGTTGATTCAGCGGCTTGAGTGGTCGATTCCTCAGCTTCAGAGGTGGTGGACTCCAAGGCTTCTTGGGTAGTCGATTCAGCGGCTTGAGTGGTCGATTCCTCAGCTTCAGAGGTGGTGGACTCCAAGGCTTCTTGGGTAGTCGATTCAGCGGCTTGAGTGGTCGATTCCTCAGCTTCAGAGGTGGTGGACTCTAAGGCTTCTTGGGTAGTCGATTCAGCGGCTTGAGTGGTCGATTCCTCAGCTTCAGAGGTGGTGGACTCCAAGGCTTCTTGAGTCGTGGATTCAGCGGCTTGAGTAGTCGATTCCTCAGCTTCAGAGGTGGTGGACTCCAAGGCTTCTTGGGTAGTCGATTCAGCGGCTTGAGTGGTCGATTCCTCAGCTTCAGAGGTGGTGGACTCCAAGGCTTCTTGGGTCGTGGATTCAGCGGCTTGAGTAGTCGATTCCTCAGCTTCAGAGGTGGTGGACTCCAAGGCTTCTTGGGTAGTCGATTCAGCGGCTTGAGTGGTCGATTCCTCAGCTTCAGAGGTGGTGGACTCCAAGGCTTCTTGGGTAGTCGATTCAGCGGCTTGAGTGGTCGATTCCTCAGCTTCAGAGGTGGTGGACTCCAAGGCTTCTTGGGTAGTCGATTCAGCGGCTTGAGTGGTCGATTCCTCAGCTTCAGAGGTGGTGGACTCCAAGGCTTCTTGAGTCGTGGATTCAGCGGCTTGAGTAGTCGATTCCTCAGCTTCAGAGGTGGTGGACTCCAAGGCTTCTTGGGTAGTCGATTTAGCGGCTTGAGTGGTCGATTCCTCGGCTTCAGAGGTGGTGGACTCCAAGGCTTCTTGGGTCGTGGATTCAGCGGCTTGAGTAGTCGATTCCTCGGCTTCAGAGGTGGTGGACTCCAAGGCTTCTTGAGTCGTGGATTCAGCGGCTTGAGTGGTCGATTCCTCAGCTTCAGAGGTGGTGGACTCCAAGGCTTCTTGAGTCGTGGATTCAGCGGCTTGAGTGGTCGATTCCTCGGCTTCAGAGGTGGTGGGCTCCAAGGCTTCTTGAGTCGTGGATTCAGCGGCTTGAGTGGTCGATTCCTCAGCTTCAGAGGTGGTGGACACCAAGGCTTCTTGGGTAGTCGATTCAGCGGCTTGAGTGGTCGACTCCTCAGCTTCAGAGGTGGTGGACTCCAAGGCTTCTTGAGTCGTGGATTCAGCGGCTTGAGTAGTCGATTCCTCAGCTTCAGAGGTGGTGGACTCCAAGGCTTCTTGGGTAGTCGATTCAGCGGCTTGAGTGGTCGATTCCTCAGCTTCAGAGGTGGTGGACTCCAAGGCTTCTTGGGTAGTCGATTCAGCGGCTTGAGTGGTCGATTCCTCAGCTTCAGAGGTGGTGGACTCCAAGGCTTCTTGAGTCGTGGATTCAGCGGCTTGAGTAGTCGATTCCTCAGCTTCAGAGGTGGTGGACTCCAAGGCTTCTTGGGTAGTCGATTCAGCGGCTTGAGTGGTCGATTCCTCAGCTTCAGAGGTGGTGGACTCCAAGGCTTCTTGGGTAGTCGATTCAGCGGCTTGAGTGGTCGATTCCTCAGCTTCAGAGGTGGTGGACTCCAAGGCTTCTTGAGTCGTGGATTCAGCGGCTTGAGTAGTCGATTCCTCAGCTTCAGAGGTGGTGGACTCCAAGGCTTCTTGAGTCGTGGATTCAGCGGCTTGAGTAGTCGATTCCTCAGCTTCAGAGGTGGTGGACTCCAAGGCTTCTTGGGTAGTCGATTCAGCGGCTTGAGTGGTCGATTCCTCAGCTTCAGAGGTGGTGGACTCCAAGGCTTCTTGAGTCGTGGATTCAGCGGCTTGAGTAGTCGATTCCTCAGCTTCAGAGGTGGTGGACTCCAAGGCTTCTTGGGTAGTCGATTCAGCGGCTTGAGTGGTCGATTCCTCAGCTTCAGAGGTGGTGGACTCCAAGGCTTCTTGGGTAGTCGATTCAGCGGCTTGAGTGGTCGATTCCTCAGCTTCAGAGGTGGTGGACTCCAAGGCTTCTTGAGTCGTGGATTCAGCGGCTTGAGTAGTCGATTCCTCAGCTTCAGAGGTGGTGGACTCCAAGGCTTCTTGGGTAGTCGATTCAGCGGCTTGAGTGGTCGATTCCTCAGCTTCAGAGGTGGTGGACTCCAAGGCTTCTTGGGTAGTCGATTCAGCGGCTTGAGTGGTCGATTCCTCAGCTTCAGAGGTGGTGGACTCCAAGGCTTCTTGAGTCGTGGATTCAGCGGCTTGAGTAGTCGATTCCTCAGCTTCAGAGGTGGTGGACTCCAAGGCTTCTTGGGTAGTCGATTCAGCGGCTTGAGTGGTCGATTCCTCAGCTTCAGAGGTGGTGGACTCCAAGGCTTCTTGGGTCGTGGATTCAGCGGCTTGAGTAGTCGATTCCTCAGCTTCAGAGGTGGTGGACTCCAAGGCTTCTTGGGTAGTCGATTCAGCGGCTTGAGTGGTCGATTCCTCGGCTTCAGAGGTGGTGGACTCCAAGGCTTCTTGGGTAGTCGATTCAGCGGCTTGAGTGGTCGATTCCTCAGCTTCAGAGGTGGTGGACTCCAAGGCTTCTTGGGTAGTCGATTCAGCGGCTTGAGTGGTCGATTCCTCAGCTTCAGAGGTGGTGGACTCCAAGGCTTCTTGGGTAGTCGATTCAGCGGCTTGAGTGGTCGATTCCTCAGCTTCAGAGGTGGTGGACTCCAAGGCTTCTTGAGTCGTGGATTCAGCGGCTTGAGTGGTCGATTCCTCGGCTTCAGAGGTGGTGGACTCCAAGGCTTCTTGAGTCGTGGATTCAGCGGCTTGAGTGGTCGATTCCTCGGCTTCAGAGGTGGTGGACTCCAAGGCTTCTTGGGTAGTCGATTCAGCGGCTTGAGTGGTCGATTCCTCGGCTTCAGAGGTGGTGGACTCCAAGGCTTCTTGAGTCGTGGATTCAGCGGCTTGAGTGGTCGATTCCTCAGCTTCAGAGGTGGTGGACTCCAAGGCTTCTTGGGTAGTCGATTCAGCGGCTTGAGTGGTCGATTCCTCAGCTTCAGAGGTGGTGGACTCCAAGGCTTCTTGAGTCGTGGATTCAGCGGCTTGAGTGGTCGATTCCTCGGCTTCAGAGGTGGTGGACTCCAAGGCTTCTTGGGTAGTCGATTCAGCGGCTTGAGTGGTCGATTCCTCGGCTTCAGAGGTGGTGGACTCCAAGGCTTCTTGGGTCGTGGATTCAGCGGCTTGAGTAGTCGATTCCTCGGCTTCAGAGGTGGTGGACTCCAAGGCTTCTTGAGTCGTGGATTCAGCGGCTTGAGTGGTCGATTCCTCAGCTTCAGAGGTGGTGGACTCCAAGGCTTCTTGAGTCGTGGATTCAGCGGCTTGAGTGGTCGATTCCTCGGCTTCAGAGGTGGTGGACTCCAAGGCTTCTTGAGTCGTGGATTCAGCGGCTTGAGTGGTCGATTCCTCAGCTTCAGAGGTGGTGGACTCCAAGGCTTCTTGGGTAGTCGATTCAGCGGCTTGAGTGGTCGATTCCTCAGCTTCAGAGGTGGTGGACTCCAAGGCTTCTTGAGTCGTGGATTCAGCGGCTTGAGTAGTCGATTCCTCAGCTTCAGAGGTGGTGGACTCCAAGGCTTCTTGGGTAGTCGATTCAGCGGCTTGAGTGGTCGATTCCTCAGCTTCAGAGGTGGTGGACTCCAAGGCTTCTTGAGTAGTCGATTCAGCGGCTTGAGTGGTCGATTCCTCAGCTTCAGAGGTGGTGGACTCCAAGGCTTCTTGAGTCGTGGATTCAGCGGCTTGAGTAGTCGATTCCTCAGCTTCAGAGGTGGTGGACTCCAAGGCTTCTTGGGTAGTCGATTCAGCGGCTTGAGTGGTCGATTCCTCAGCTTCAGAGGTGGTGGACTCCAAGGCTTCTTGGGTCGTGGATTCAGCGGCTTGAGTAGTCGATTCCTCAGCTTCAGAGGTGGTGGACTCCAAGGCTTCTTGGGTAGTCGATTCAGCGGCTTGAGTGGTCGATTCCTCGGCTTCAGAGGTGGTGGACTCCAAGGCTTCTTGGGTAGTCGATTCAGCGGCTTGAGTGGTCGATTCCTCAGCTTCAGAGGTGGTGGACTCCAAGGCTTCTTGGGTAGTCGATTCAGCGGCTTGAGTGGTCGATTCCTCAGCTTCAGAGGTGGTGGACTCCAAGGCTTCTTGGGTAGTCGATTCAGCGGCTTGAGTGGTCGATTCCTCAGCTTCAGAGGTGGTGGACTCCAAGGCTTCTTGAGTCGTGGATTCAGCGGCTTGAGTGGTCGATTCCTCGGCTTCAGAGGTGGTGGACTCCAAGGCTTCTTGAGTCGTGGATTCAGCGGCTTGAGTGGTCGATTCCTCGGCTTCAGAGGTGGTGGACTCCAAAGCTTCTTGGGTAGTCGATTCAGCGGCTTGAGTGGTCGATTCCTCGGCTTCAGAGGTGGTGGACTCCAAGGCTTCTTGAGTCGTGGATTCAGCGGCTTGAGTGGTCGATTCCTCAGCTTCAGAGGTGGTGGACTCCAAGGCTTCTTGGGTAGTCGATTCAGCGGCTTGAGTGGTCGATTCCTCAGCTTCAGAGGTGGTGGACTCCAAGGCTTCTTGAGTCGTGGATTCAGCGGCTTGAGTGGTCGATTCCTCGGCTTCAGAGGTGGTGGACTCCAAGGCTTCTTGAGTCGTGGATTCAGCGGCTTGAGTGGTCGATTCCTCGGCTTCAGAGGTGGTGGACTCCAAGGCTTCTTGAGTCGTGGACTCAGCGGCTTGAGTGGTCGATTCCTCAGCTTCAGAGGTGGTGGACTCCACGGCTTCTTGGGTCGTGGATTCAGCGGCTTGAGTAGTCGATTCCTCAGCTTCAGAGGTGGTGGACTCCAAGGCTTCTTGGGTAGTCGATTCAGCGGCTTGAGTGGTCGATTCCTCGGCTTCAGAGGTGGTGGACTCCAAGGCTTCTTGGGTCGTGGATTCAGCGGCTTGAGTAGTCGATTCCTCAGCTTCAGAGGTGGTGGACTCCAAGGCTTCTTGGGTAGTCGATTCAGCGGCTTGAGTGGTCGATTCCTCGGCTTCAGAGGTGGTGGACTCCAAGGCTTCTTGGGTAGTCGATTCAGCGGCTTGAGTGGTCGATTCCTCAGCTTCAGAGGTGGTGGACTCCAAGGCTTCTTGGGTAGTCAATTCAGCGGCTTGAGTGGTCGATTCCTCAGCTTCAGAGGTGGTGGACTCCAAGGCTACTTGGGTAGTCGATTCAGCGGCTTGAGTGGTCGATTCCTCAGCTTCAGAGGTGGTGGACTCCAAGGCTTCTTGAGTCGTGGATTCAGCGGCTTGAGTGGTCGATTCCTCGGCTTCAGAGGTGGTGGACTCCAAAGCTTCTTGGGTAGTCGATTCAGCGGCTTGAGTGGTCGATTCCTCGGCTTCAGAGGTGGTGGACTCCAAGGCTTCTTGAGTCGTGGATTCAGCGGCTTGAGTGGTCGATTCCTCAGCTTCAGAGGTGGTGGACTCCAAGGCTTCTTGGGTAGTCGATTCAGCGGCTTGAGTGGTCGATTCCTCAGCTTCAGAGGTGGTGGACTCCAAGGCTTCTTGAGTCGTGGATTCAGCGGCTTGAGTGGTCGATTCCTCGGCTTCAGAGGTGGTGGACTCCAAGGCTTCTTGAGTCGTGGATTCAGCGGCTTGAGTGGTCGATTCCTCGGCTTCAGAGGTGGTGGACTCCAAAGCTTCTTGGGTAGTCGATTCAGCGGCTTGAGTGGTCGATTCCTCGGCTTCAGAGGTGGTGGACTCCAAGGCTTCTTGAGTCGTGGATTCAGCGGCTTGAGTGGTCGATTCCTCAGCTTCAGAGGTGGTGGACTCCAAGGCTTCTTGGGTAGTCGATTCAGCGGCTTGAGTGGTCGATTCCTCAGCTTCAGAGGTGGTGGACTCCAAGGCTTCTTGAGTCGTGGATTCAGCGGCTTGAGTGGTCGATTCCTCGGCTTCAGAGGTGGTGGACTCCAAGGCTTCTTGAGTCGTGGATTCAGCGGCTTGAGTGGTCGATTCCTCGGCTTCAGAGGTGGTGGACTCCAAGGCTTCTTGAGTCGTGGACTCAGCGGCTTGAGTGGTCGATTCCTCAGCTTCAGAGGTGGTGGACTCCACGGCTTCTTGGGTCGTGGATTCAGCGGCTTGAGTAGTCGATTCCTCAGCTTCAGAGGTGGTGGACTCCAAGGCTTCTTGGGTAGTCGATTCAGCGGCTTGAGTGGTCGATTCCTCGGCTTCAGAGGTGGTGGACTCCAAGGCTTCTTGGGTCGTGGATTCAGCGGCTTGAGTAGTCGATTCCTCAGCTTCAGAGGTGGTGGACTCCAAGGCTTCTTGGGTAGTCGATTCAGCGGCTTGAGTGGTCGATTCCTCGGCTTCAGAGGTGGTGGACTCCAAGGCTTCTTGGGTAGTCGATTCAGCGGCTTGAGTGGTCGATTCCTCAGCTTCAGAGGTGGTGGACTCCAAGGCTTCTTGGGTAGTCAATTCAGCGGCTTGAGTGGTCGATTCCTCAGCTTCAGAGGTGGTGGACTCCAAGGCTACTTGGGTAGTCGATTCAGCGGCTTGAGTGGTCGATTCCTCAGCTTCAGAGGTGGTGGACTCCAAGGCTTCTTGAGTCGTGGATTCAGCGGCTTGAGTGGTCGATTCCTCGGCTTCAGAGGTGGTGGACTCCAAAGCTTCTTGGGTAGTCGATTCAGCGGCTTGAGTGGTCGATTCCTCGGCTTCAGAGGTGGTGGACTCCAAGGCTTCTTGAGTCGTGGATTCAGCGGCTTGAGTGGTCGATTCCTCAGCTTCAGAGGTGGTGGACTCCAAGGCTTCTTGGGTAGTCGATTCAGCGGCTTGAGTGGTCGATTCCTCAGCTTCAGAGGTGGTGGACTCCAAGGCTTCTTGAGTCGTGGATTCAGCGGCTTGAGTGGTCGATTCCTCGGCTTCAGAGGTGGTGGACTCCAAGGCTTCTTGAGTCGTGGATTCAGCGGCTTGAGTGGTCGATTCCTCGGCTTCAGAGGTGGTGGACTCCAAGGCTTCTTGAGTCGTGGACTCAGCGGCTTGAGTGGTCGATTCCTCAGCTTCAGAGGTGGTGGACTCCACGGCTTCTTGGGTCGTGGATTCAGCGGCTTGAGTAGTCGATTCCTCAGCTTCAGAGGTGGTGGACTCCAAGGCTTCTTGGGTAGTCGATTCAGCGGCTTGAGTGGTCGATTCCTCGGCTTCAGAGGTGGTGGACTCCAAGGCTTCTTGGGTCGTGGATTCAGCGGCTTGAGTAGTCGATTCCTCAGCTTCAGAGGTGGTGGACTCCAAGGCTTCTTGGGTAGTCGATTCAGCGGCTTGAGTGGTCGATTCCTCAGCTTCAGAGGTGGTGGACTCCAAGGCTTCTTGGGTAGTCGATTCAGCGGCTTGAGTGGTCGATTCCTCGGCTTCAGAGGTGGTGGACTCCAAGGCTTCTTGGGTCGTGGATTCAGCGGCTTGAGTAGTCGATTCCTCAGCTTCAGAGGTGGTGGACTCCAAGGCTTCTTGGGTAGTCGATTCAGCGGCTTGAGTGGTCGATTCCTCAGCTTCAGAGGTGGTGGACTCCAAGGCTTCGAAAGTAGTAGACTCGAAGGGTTCTTCGGTCGTGGATTCGGCGGCCTCAGTGGTCGATTCCTCGGCTTCGAAAGTAGTGGATTCAGCAGCCTCAGTGGTCGATTCCTCGGCTTCGAAAGTAGTGGATTCAGCGGCCTCAGTGGTCGATTCCTCGGCTTCGAAAGTAGTAGACTCGAAGGGTTCTTCGGTCGTGGATTCGGCGGCCTCAGTGGTCGATTCCTCGGCTTCGAAAGTAGTGGATTCAGCGGCCTCAGTGGTCGATTCCTCGGCTTCGAAAGTAGTAGACTCGAAGGGTTCTTCGGTCGTGGATTCGGCGGCCTCAGTGGTCGATTCCTCGGCTTCAAAAGTAGTGGATTCAGCAGCCTCAGTGGTCGATTCCTCGGCTTCGAAAGTAGTGGATTCGGCGGCCTCAGTGGTCGATTCCTCGGCTTCGAAAGTAGTGGATTCAGCGGCCTCAGTGGTCGATTCCTCGGCTTCGAAAGTAGTGGATTCAGCGGCCTCAGTGGTCGATTCCTCGGCTTCGAAAGTAGTAGACTCGAAGGGTTCTTCGGTCGTGGATTCGGCGGCCTCAGTGGTCGATTCCTCGGCTTCGAAAGTAGTGGATTCAGCGGCCTCAGTGGTCGATTCCTCGGCTTCGAAAGTAGTAGACTCGAAGGGTTCTTCGGTCGTGGATTCGGCGGCCTCAGTGGTCGATTCCTCGGCTTCAAAAGTAGTGGATTCAGCAGCCTCAGTGGTCGATTCCTCGGCTTCGAAAGTAGTGGATTCAGCGGCCTCAGTGGTCGATTCCTCGGCTTCGAAGGTAGTGGATTCAGCAGCCTCAGTGGTCGATTCCTCGGCTTCGAAAGTAGTAGATTCAGCGGCCTCAGTGGTCGATTCCTCGGCTTCGAAAGTAGTAGACTCGAAGGGTTCTTCGGTCGTGGATTCGGCGGCCTCAGTGGTCGATTCCTCGGCTTCGAAAGTAGTAGACTCGAAGGGTTCTTCGGTCGTGGATTCGGCGGCCTCAGTGGTCGATTCCTCGGCTTCGAAAGTAGTGGATTCAGCGGCCTCAGTGGTCGATTCCTCGGCTTCGAAAGTAGTAGACTCGAAGGGTTCTTCGGTCGTGGATTCGGCGGCCTCAGTGGTCGATTCCTCGGCTTCGAAGGTAGTGGATTCAGCAGCCTCAGTGGTCGATTCCTCAGCTTCGAAAGTAGTAGATTCAGCGGCCTCAGTGGTCGATTCCTCGGCTTCGAAAGTAGTAGACTCGAAGGGTTCTTCGGTCGTGGATTCGGCGGCCTCAGTGGTCGATTCCTCGGCTTCGAAAGTAGTAGACTCGAAGGGTTCTTCGGTCGTGGATTCGGCGGCCTCAGTGGTCGATTCCTCGGCTTCGAAAGTAGTGGATTCAGCGGCCTCAGTGGTCGATTCCTCGGCTTCGAAAGTAGTAGACTCGAAGGGTTCTTCGGTCGTGGATTCGGCGGCCTCAGTGGTCGATTCCTCGGCTTCGAAAGTAGTGGATTCAGCGGCCTCAGTGGTCGATTCCTCGGCTTCGAAAGTAGTAGACTCGAAGGGTTCTTCGGTCGTGGATTCGGCGGCCTCAGTGGTCGATTCCTCGGCTTCGAAAGTAGTGGATTCAGCAGCCTCAGTGGTCGATTCCTCGGCTTCGAAAGTAGTGGATTCAGCGGCCTCAGTGGTCGATTCCTCGGCTTCGAAAGTAGTAGACTCGAAGGGTTCTTCGGTCGTGGATTCGGCGGCCTCAGTGGTCGATTCCTCGGCTTCGAAAGTAGTGGATTCAGCGGCCTCAGTGGTCGATTCCTCGGCTTCGAAAGTAGTAGACTCGAAGGGTTCTTCGGTCGTGGATTCGGCGGCCTCAGTGGTCGATTCCTCGGCTTCAAAAGTAGTGGATTCAGCAGCCTCAGTGGTCGATTCCTCGGCTTCGAAAGTAGTGGATTCGGCGGCCTCAGTGGTCGATTCCTCGGCTTCGAAAGTAGTGGATTCAGCGGCCTCAGTGGTCGATTCCTCGGCTTCGAAAGTAGTGGATTCAGCGGCCTCAGTGGTCGATTCCTCGGCTTCGAAAGTAGTAGACTCGAAGGGTTCTTCGGTCGTGGATTCGGCGGCCTCAGTGGTCGATTCCTCGGCTTCAAAAGTAGTGGATTCAGCGGCCTCAGTGGTCGATTCCTCGGCTTCGAAAGTAGTAGACTCGAAGGGTTCTTCGGTCGTGGATTCGGCGGCCTCAGTGGTCGATTCCTCGGCTTCGAAGGTAGTGGATTCAGCAGCCTCAGTGGTCGATTCCTCGGCTTCGAAAGTAGTAGATTCAGCGGCCTCAGTGGTCGATTCCTCGGCTTCGAAAGTAGTAGACTCGAAGGGTTCTTCGGTCGTGGATTCGGCGGCCTCAGTGGTCGATTCCTCGGCTTCGAAAGTAGTAGACTCGAACGGTTCTTCGGTCGTGGATTCGGCGGCCTCAGTGGTCCATTCCTCGGCTTCGAAAGTAGTGGATTCAGCGGCCTCAGTGGTCGATTCCTCGGCTTCGAAAGTAGTAGACTCGAAGGGTTCTTCGGTCGTGGATTCGGCGGCCTCAGTGGTCGATTCCTCGGCTTCGAAAGTAGTGGATTCAGCGGCCTCAGTGGTCGATTCCTCGGCTTCGAAAGTAGTAGACTCGAAGGGTTCTTCGGTCGTGGATTCGGCGGCCTCAGTGGTCGATTCCTCGGCTTCGAAGGTAGTGGATTCAGCAGCCTCAGTGGTCGATTCCTCGGCTTCGAAAGTAGTGGATTCAGCGGCCTCAGTGGTCGATTCCTCGGCTTCGAAAGTAGTAGACTCGAAGGGTTCTTCGGTCGTGGATTCGGCGGCCTCAGTGGTCGATTCCTCGGCTTCGAAAGTAGTGGATTCAGCAGCCTCAGTGGTCGATTCCTCGGCTTCGAAAGTAGTAGACTCGAAGGGTTCTTCGGTCGTGGATTCGGCGGCCTCAGTGGTCGATTCCTCGGCTTCGAAAGTAGTGGATTCAGCAGCCTCAGTGGTCGATTCCTCGGCTTCGAAAGTAGTAGACTCGAAGGGTTCTTCGGTCGTGGATTCAGCGGCCTCAGTGGTCGATTCCTCGGCTTCGAAAGTAGTAGACTCGAAGGGTTCTTCGGTCGTGGATTCAGCGGCCTCAGTGGTCGATTCCTCAGCTTCAAAGGCGGTAGACTCCAAGGGTTCTTCGGTTGTGGAGTCTAATGATGCCACGACCTCGCTGTTGTTCTCCGCCTCTCTGACAACTCTACGAGTTTCATTTTTCTGTGAAGGAGCAATTCGTCGATCGGCAATGTAGCCGACTATTATATCGTATAATAAAGGGGATGCTGAATTTGAAAAAAATGTTAAATTGCTCATTACGGATCCTCTTACCATTTGCACTCACAAGGAACAACAAAACCAGCCATGAGTAGATTCTCATTTTCAAGGGCTCCGTTCCTTCCCGAGCACTGAATGTAATGTGCTGAACGTAACGGCGTTCGGCTTTTTATACGGGCGTGTTGACGTGTGGGCGCCGGTGGAATTCCTGAGCAGGGTCAGAACTCTAATCCGTGTCCGCCGATCCGCCGATACATTGCGTGGTAGAATTTTTGGAAAAAAACATCGAAAAAAGCTTCAAGGCTTTGGGTTGTTATGCAAATCGTGTGTGTCGAGAGCTGCGGCTGTTCAAAAAAAACGATTGAATTTTGGAGTTCCAGGGATTGGCGTACTGTGGACGGCGTCTTCACGTCATTGTGCATCGTATCGATGTCGGGCTTTAAAAAAAACGAAAATGGAAAAAATCTTTTAAATATTGGTCTGTCGGGAAAATAATGTGGATTTGTTGCAACAAAATATCTCGTCTTGTCATAGTCATGGGCCAAATTTTCTGGTAGCCATCTCAAAGCGATGAAGGGCGATTTTAAGCCGCTACGAATCCACATTATTTTCCCGACAGACTGATATAAAGTCTTTTTTTTCTCCGGTGAAAATGAGTTAGTTTTATGTAGTATGTTTTATGTAGTATGTACTGCTTATAGTTTTCATTGTGACAGTCTGTGAAGTATGAAAAATCATTGTGAAGTCTCTGAAGTATGGAAATCTGACCTTAAGCAAAAAGCAAATTTAAACATGTGAGCAACGACCAACAATTATTACAATATTTCAAGCGAAAACAGGGAAATTATACATGAAAAAGTGGGAAACAAAAGGATAAAGGCGCTTAAAATTCCAAATAATTTCAAATATTGTAAAATTCTGCTCATTTTCGACTAACGGGAGTATCCCAAGTGGGGCGCATTTTCTTGAAATTTCCCATAAATTTCACATATATGTGACTTAGGGGACATATCAGTACATTTCGTCTTCTGACCATAAAAATGCCATACCTTTGGTGCTCAGATTTTCTTTAAATTTTGCACACATTTCGGGCATAGGCCACTTATCGATTCCTGAAAATTTTAGCTTGTGCTTTGCAGGGAGAGCCAAGATATTCAACGATCTTTGGGGCCGAGAGAGTACGCGAAATGCGGAGAGCGCTCAGAGAGAAACCATTTTTTGGTTATACCTTTGTGAATTTCGTATGGAAAAAATTGATTTTGTGGAAACATTACCCTCTACGATAGAAATAAGCATGAAACTTTTCATGTCAAAATTCACAAAAAAAAATCTGTTTTTTTTTGTCATCTTTCGACCTAAAAATCTCGGTCGTTCTTGCAAAGTGCGAGCTGGGAGTCTGATATATGTCATAGAGACAATTATTCTAAATTTGTGCCAAGTTTCATCAAAATCTGAGCACTTAAGGTATCTCCATTTTAAAATGGAGATACCTAACTTCCGAGGGTTCCCTGTGTCATCGCCTATGTTTTTTTGCTTCTTCTCGTCGATAAAATTTCTTCTGAACTCAAAACATTCCTCCAGTTAACACTCCGATAATGAAATTTAAATTTATCTTTTTAATGTCACACTTCCGGAATACGATCATGTTTTTTTGTTGACTTATTAAAATTTCTCCGCCGACAGACGAACACTAAAAATAAAAGCGAAAGCGGATCCAAACTTTCGTGTGGGAGATGTGATTTGAGTTTGTATTCACGGCTGCATGATACGCTTGTAATCTGACTTTCGGATTCGTTCGTTTCAAATGTTTCATAAATATGTGATCTGTCTGGATCATATTTTGTGTCTGTTGAATTTCGGAGAACAGATTACAAGAAAAAAAAGAAAAGATAAGTATCAGTCTGTCGGGAAAATAATGAGATATTTCAACATTCAAATTGAAAAAATTTTTCATTGTATAAGATGTCACACCTTATTCATTTCAATTTGAAAAAATTTTTCATCGTATAAGATGTCACACTTCATTTTTCTCAATTTGAAAAAATTTTTCATCGTATAAGATGTCACTCCTCATTTTTTCAGTTTTCAAAATGAGGGGGAGTGTTCAAAAAGGGGGAGGGTTCTGAAGGGGAAAGTTCAAAAAGGGGTAGAGTTCAGATTGGGGGAAAGTTCAGAAAAGGGGTAGAGTTCTGCCGCAATGCAAAAAATCTGTATTTTTTACCAAACTTTCAACCTGAAAATCTCGGTCGTTTTTGCAAAGCGCGCATACGTCTTGAAGAAATTTAGTCTCAATTTCTCCCGAGTTTTTTCCTGTGAACCAATTCTTTATAACATCACTTTCGACCTTTTACTGAGTATAAATGAATGATGAAACTGCACTCGCCTCCCCGAAACTTTAATTCCCTCGCTCCTGTTTTCCACCGCGGATTATACGTTTCGCTTTTCCATCTGTTCTAACCTTTGAACGGGATTCCGCAAAAAACTTTTGACGTGGACTGCCGGGATGATGTAATCCCGGCGTTCGTACTTTGTCAAGGACTCTCTTGCAACAATCAAATCGAACGCTGACTGTTACGTGAACACGGGCGTAGCTGAGCAAAAATTCTGAGGGGAGGGGAGAGGCCTGGGGTCGGTATGTAAGAAACAAAATTACCTTTGTCCTCCCTTACCATTATTTTTCTTCGACCCCGGCCTGGGGGGCCATAGGAGATGATTTGCAAAATTTTGAAAAATTGGCAAGGGGGGACCAAGGGGCTCCAAAAAGCTCGACAAAGTCGCTAGAATGATTTTTGCGACACGCACTGTGCGAAAACAAAAGTTCACTTTGCACTGTGCAGTTTCTTGCTTTTATTTTTTCGACATTCACTGTGCAAATTAAAAAAATTTCGCTTTGCACTGTGCAATTTCTTTCTTTTATTTTTGCGACATGCACTGTGCGAAAACCAAAGTTCACTTTGCACTGTGCGATTTCTCGCTTTTATTTTCGCGACATGCACTGTGCGAAAACAAAAGTTCACTTTGCACTGTGCAATTTCTTGCTTTAATTTTTACGACATGCACTGTGCGAAAACCAAAGTTCACTTTGCACTGTGCAATTTCTCGCTTTTACTTTCGCGACATGCACTGTGCGTAAAAAAAATTTCACTTTGCACTGTGCAATTTGCTTCTTTTATTTTCGCGAGATGCACTGTGCGAAAACAAAGGTTCTCTTTGCACTGTGCGGTGTCTTACTTTTATTTTTGCGACATGCACTGTGTGAAAACAAAAGTTCACTTTGCACTGCGCGATTTCTTGTTTTTTTGCACCGTGCAATAGGCGGTTTTGCTGAGGAATTTGGCTTCGTGGAAACTGGACAGAGTGAAATTGGACAGAGTGAAATTGGACAGAAATAATTTGGACAGAGCGTGTAAATTGGACAGAGTGAAATTGGACAGAGTGAAACTCGACAGATTTTTTTTCACTGCAAAAAATAATTATTTGATGATTCAATATTGACATTTCGTACGATTGCAGCGAAAATCTGTCCAATTTCACTCTGTCCAATTTCACTCTGTCCAATTTCACCCTGTCCAATTTCCACGCTCTGTCCAAATTATTTCTGTCCAATTTCACTCTGTCGAATTTCACTCTGTCCAATTTCCACGAAGCCAGGAATTTGCCTGGGGGGGGGAGGTTTTTTTGACCACAGGTATGTCATTTGTGGGAAAATTTTTCAAAAAAAAATTTTTTGCCTTACTCCTCCCTTACAAAAGTTTGCCGACCTTAGGCGGACTTTGGTGTCCAAAATGATCGCCTCTGAATTTGTTTTGAATTTTGTGGAGCTTTAGGGAAGCCCAATGCAAATTTTAGTTGTTATTTATGGCTGTTTCCCCGAAAAACATCCGCCAAAACTGAGACGCTCGTTCCGCCGATTCATCCCAAGAATAATAATAATTCCCAGTATTGCATCCCTTTTCCCGGAAACCCAGAAGTTATTCTAATCCAAACAACAATAATCTCCGATTCAAAATGATTTTATTTGTGCTTCATGTTAAAGTATTCAAATGCACTCACCTGATTCCGCATATTCAAGAAATTTACAGGACAATATGACAAAAAAAAAGATATTATAAGAGACATTAGACCTTAGACCCGCAGATTCAAAGCTTCAAACTTTCAACGGCTCAGCTTTTGAAGCCAAATTTGATCGGAGCACGTTGGAATCCTCCCTTATTCAAGATTGAGTGTTGTTCAGTTTTCTTGAGTTTGTCCAGCTCTTCTTTCAGCTGATTCCTTTCCATTTCGGCCTTGGATTTCGCTTCTAACATTTGAAGGCGCTCTTCGTTCTAAAATTGACAAATATTTCCCTTCGTTACCTAAACTTGACATGGATAATATAAAAAAAGCCTTACCATTTTATCCTTCTCCAAGTCCAACTCTTTTCTGCGGTCCTCTAGACTCTTTTCCATATCTTTCAGACGTGCCAAGGTGTCGGCCTAAATTTCAACAAATAAAATCATATTAAACTTGACTCACCTCCCGCTTTCTGGCCGCTTCCATCTCGTCCTTCCACTCATTCTCAATCTGAGCGCGCAAACGGGCCTCCAGCTCCACTTTGGCTTTTTGAATCCGATCCCGGACCACAGCATCAATCTCCTCATTTCTTGCACGCATCTGAAAGGATCCAATATTAATATCAAGAAGAGCTGAAAAAACTATGTAAGCTTTAAAACAACAATGAAGAGAATGCTCCGTCCGACAATACGCACATTCTACGGTGTGCCACGGGCTTCACGATCCAGGAAAATGCATCACAATGCGTCCAAACACCTAAATCTTGGTATGCTCAAGGTAATACGGGCCTGAAAATTATTAGAAAAGGTGATTGCGATGATGAAATCAATTGTGAAGGACGAATATGAAGTTATCACATGGTTAATCACTTTTATAATAGATGTAGAAGTTGAAGATGAAATAAATTTTAAATATTGGAGTAGAGAAGCTACCAAGTATAATATCAAGCCAAAAAGTCAAAACTAAGGGAAAAATGGCTGATAATCGTCAATATAGCTGTGTTAAACCTTGGAAGAAAAATTACAACCATTGTGGAGATTAAAATTTCATTTCTGATATTATACTTGCCATGATAGTTTTTACTTTCTCTAAACACAAAGGAAAAAGTAACAGAATACACTTGCCTGCTCATTCACCGTCTCCGTGACCCATTTCAACGCAGCTCCAGTCATTTTATTCGGAGCCCAGTCTTGCTGGCACAGATCCTTCTTCACGTCATCTGGCATCTGATCATCAGTAAGTGTATGAGTGGCATTAAGCTCAGGAGAGATGTCTTTTGGAGTTGTTGGCCGTTTAGGAGGAGATCGACTTCGAGTCCGTTTAGTCGACGGGCTTCGAGAAGAGGAACTGAAAGGAAAACGTAATAGATTGGGCCTATATTATCCATGACAGATGTAAACTTCAAGCGCTCCTAAAATCCGAAAGATCCAACAATAATAACTTACTACTTTCTTCTCCGGTGGCTTTTGTGATGTCGATCCTTTCTTCGTTCGGAGTCGCGATCCCTGTCTCTGGACCTGTCGCGATTCCTGGAGCGAGATCTGGAACGATAGCGAGAACGCCGGCGATCATCACGATCACGGGAACGTGAGCGTGCCATTCGAATATGCCCAAAACTCTCGAGATCTTGTGGGTTTATCGACAGTCGAGAAGAGAATTTTCTTTGGCAAGCCGCCTCTTTTTTAGCGTTCAAATTTTTCGTGGCGGGACGCAGCAGCAAACACTGTGGGATACAAATTACGACCGAAACTACGGTCGTTTTGGCGGTTGACACTGCACAAAGTAAGTTGAAACCTTTTATTGACTTATTCCAATCGTTTTTAGGGAATATGAGCAGCCAAACGCAGGCAACCACCGTCTTTCAGTTTACTCAAACAAGCACGGTCAGCGTAAAGCGAGAGAAGGTCCCGAAAGCTTCGCCCGTGCGTCGAGTCGTCGTCATCGATGGTTGCAATGTCATCTCCAAGTGCTCTGACCGTTCTTACAGCATACACACCTCGAAGTAAGGGATTAGAACGATTATAAACTTATTTTAGGTAAAAACTAGAGTTTTGATTTTGGGTATGACCTAAAATGTCGTAAAATGGAGAAATTCTCAATTGTTTTGAATTACTAGGCTATCGGATTGTGATGACTTTTATTTTCAGCAACAAATTCAACGCATTGCCGATATTGTTGATGGTGCACGACTTGATCAAGCGGAAGTTTGAAGTGTTTGTCACGATCAAAGAGTTCTTTATGTCCCCAAAGACGGTGAATTACGTGTTTGCTCTAGAGGTAAGAGTTTATACTATTCTGTTCTGTTTTTAGGAAAGTTTGACCTTGTTTTTCCTTTTTTAGACATCAAAATTTTTGACTAACAGGGGAAGTACCCCAAGTGCGACGCTCAGATTTTGATGAAACTTGGCACAAATTTAGAACAATTTTTTCTAAGATATATGCGAGAATCCTAGCTCGCGCTTTGCAGAAACAACCGGGATTTTTAGATCGAAAGTGTGCGAAAATTTTACACTTTTTGCCGAATTTCAGCACCAAAATTTTCATGCCCATTTCTATCGTAAAGGGTAATGTTTCCACAAAAAATCAAATTTTTCCGCACGAAACTGCCAAAGTTATGGCCAAAAAGCGTTTTCCTCTCTGACCGCTCTACACGTTTAGTGTGCTCTCTCGGCGGCAAAAACCGTTCAATATCTCGGCGGCGCCTGCAAAGCGCGAGCTAAAACTTTCAGGAATTGATGTTTAGTCCATACCCGACGTGTGTGCAAAATTTAAAGAAAATCTGAGCGTCGCACTTGGGGTACTTCCCTTGTAAAATAATCTCAAACCTCTTCAGAACTCAAACCTCTGCTATTGCTTAGCTTAGTCGCCCATAAAACATCCAAATTCACCCCCATTTTTCAGCAACTCCGAGCCTTCGAAGTTCTCCATGTCTTCCCAGATGCCGTTGACGACGATCGAATTATTTTGAATACTGCCAAGGCGTATAAAGGCTCTATAATTAGCAATGATAAGTTCCGCGACCGCGATGACGGTGAATTCGGAGCTGAGAAGGCAAGACGGATGGGTTTTCGGTACGACGCGGATCCAAATTATTTTCCGAATGTTGATAATGCTGGAAAACCCGAGTCGAAATTTTTGTTTGGCTTGAAGTTTGATTACCCGGATTTAAATAGTAAGTTAGGATAGATAGGCTGTATTTGGTGATAAGAATGATCGATTATGGCCTAAAGTAATATTGGTGGCATTCAAGTTTTCGCTGCAGGGCCAAAGATTGCAATATTTTCTAAATCTTTGAATATAAGCGATTATGGCCCAAGAGCGATTATGAGCCAAAAAGATCGATTATGACCCAAAGTCGAAAAAAAGTAGTCTTTTTCAACAAAAAGTGGCTAGCCAAACACTAGGGCAGGCAGCCAAATTGGGTTAACGGTTGGTCAAGCACTTCGGCGATTGTTACTTTTCTCCCAAGTAGTGCTGTTAAAAATAGTTCTTTCAATTTTTTCCAAAAATACTTGATTTAGAGATTTGGTTTTTGGTGCTGCTGAAAATATGAACAGGATTTTTAAGATCAACACCATCAAAAACCCATAAATCAAGTATTTTTAGAAGAAATTGAAAGAACTACTTTGAACAGTACTACTTAAGAAAAAAGTAACGATCACCGAGGTGCTTGACTAACCGTTAACCCAATTGGATACCTGTCCTGGTGTTTGGCTAGCCACTTTCTGTTGAAAAAGACGACTTTTTTCGGCCTTGGGTCATAATCGATCCTTTTGGCTCATAATCGCTCTTGGACCATAATCGCATACATTCAAAAATTCAGAAAGTATTAGAACCGTCGTTCCTGCAGCGAAAACTTGAAAGTCACCAAAATTGAACCTTTTAGCCAAAACCCAACATTCTTATGTCCTCAAAATTACTTTAAAAATAAAAATTATAATCGATCTTTTTGGATCATAATCGCTTTCATTCTGACTGTAAATAAATGTTTACTTATCAAAAATTTTTCAGCGAAAGGCCTGTGTTTCCCAGGAGACCCCGATTACAATGAAGTGAAAAAGATCTATGACACTGTTGGAGAGTTGTATTTAAAAAGAATAATGAGCATCACGGATTTGATGGCCAGTTATATCCAACGGGAGCAATGTTATGCTCTGAAAGTGAGATGTCCACCAGCACCGTTCCTTCTGCCCAATGACATGCCTGATTTCTATCTGTACCTCCAAAAGAGGCAATCGTACGAAGCCCGAACGGGCTGGGACAAAAAGTAGAAGCTGATAGTGTTACGGTCGAAGTTTTAGACATGATTTTTATTAGTTTGCTAATTTTATTCATAGCTTATTATATTGTAGTAGGTCCGGCAGATGAGGTGGCAGCAATTTTTTGATTTTTGAGTAAAAAGTTGAAACCAAAATTGGTCAGCCGAATGTTTTCCAGCTTCAGGGCCTCGAATTGTAGTTGATATTTCAGATTGTCATAATGAATAACGGTTTGTGTGGAAAATACAACCGCTAATATACAATTACATAACCATTTTGTCTACAAAGGGAGGATAATATTTTTTGACGCCATGTCTTGGCGGATTCAGAGGAACGGATTGCATAAATAGGCAGTCGGCTGGGTTCCGTGTAGAAATAAAATTTATATCTGCCTTCTGCACACCAGTTCTTGGGACCTTTTTCTGCGGGAAAACCACATGGCGAAAGTTTTACTGGTATCAAGAATTAGCCTAATGACATTACTATTTATGGCTTGCATTGTAGTTGAGGTGGCTATTTCATAGCGCGGGGGTTTTGTTGACTACTGTAATAGCAGCCTCGTCAAGGCTTTCGAATTGTAAAGGATGGCTCAGGCGGAGCTTTCAACCTTATTTCAAGTATTTCCCCGCCAATAATGCGCCAATTTCTATAAAATTTGTATCAAATTGAAAATCAGGAAGACCATTTTTTGTTCACAAAACTTTTTGGGGTAGTCATGTCTGGTGGTCGCGGAATTTGAGGTACGTTTTATAGAAATTGGTGCATTTTTGGAGACCTACAGTGACGGAACCGATCCAGTGGCAAGAAACGTACCATTTCGCATCCGGGAGGCATCAAAAATGTGGCAAAATGTTTCCTTTTCCAAGTGTAAAAACTCCGATTTGAAAAGCATGCTATTTTTGCGAGGGAAAGGCGCCTTTCAAACCGGAGTTTTTTCGGTTTTAGAGGGAGGTATTTTGCTACACTTTTGATACTTCCCGGATGCAAAATGGTACGTTTTTTGCCACTGGATCAGTTCCGTCGCTGTACTATCATTCTGTTCGGAAAATAACGTGGGTTTGTCTCAAAGCGATGATGGCGCGACGAATCCATATTATTTTCATGTGGCAAAATGCTTCCCTTTCCAAGTGAAAAAACTTCGTTTTGAAGGGCGCGCCCTCTCCCTCACAAAAAAATGCGCGTGCTTTTGGAATCGGAATTTTTTTCATTTGGAGAGGGAAGCATTTTGCTATATTTTTGATACTTCCCGGATGCAAAATGGTACGTTTTTTGCCACTGGATCAGGCCCCCACTCTGCTTGAAATAAGGTTGAAAGCTTGTACAATTCGAAAGTTTTGACGAGGCTGCTATTACATTAGCCAACAAAATCCCCGCGCTATGAAATACCCTACAGAACCACTCTGTATTACCGTAATGGGTGTTATTTTTTACTCTAACGCGCAATGTTAGAGTAAAAAATCTAAAATGCATTGTGCAAAGTGGTTGTTATTGCGCCAAAATGCAGTGTGCAAAATAGCAGGAATTTCGCCTTGAGCGGTATATGCCATTTGAGAGGGTTTTTAAAGTTTTTCTAAAGCCAGTTTCAAAAATTGCCAACGGGATTCGGTTTTGGAGATCTACGGCTTCAAATTGTTTTTGGCTTATTTATCAGCACGGCAACCAAAAATAGAACAAAAACCAAAAACAAAAATAGCTTTCGTACGAAAACCCCCCACTGAAAATTCATTCTGATGTTTGTTTTTAATTCAGCGGTACTGAGAATCGCCAGAATGGGATGGTAGACCCCCGGGGTTGCCGTGCGCCGCTATATAAGTCGGTGGCTAAGAATTTCCGCCAAGAATTTCTTCTTTCGTTGCAAAAGATAATCTCTTTTGCTCGCTACACTGACGTTAGGGTTGGGTGAAAAACGAGCGGCCAAAAATTCTAAGAACGTCTAATTGTCAAAAAATAGAATAATAAGTCCGAAGATCGAAACCCCTCACGGAAAATTCATTTTGGCATTTTGTTTGAATTCAACGGATAGCAGTTGGGCGAATTGCCGAAATGAGACGGGAAACTCCCTGGGTTGCCGTTCTCCGCCTTGTTTCCGACTTACAGTGGGGTACCTGATCCAGTGACAAAAACATGCTATTTTGCATCCGGGAAGTATCAAAAAATGTAGCAAAATACCTCCCTCTCCAACTAAAAAACTCCGTTTTGAAGATGCGCTCTTTCCTTTAAAAAAACCCGATTTTTAAAGCCCCCTTTAAAACGGATTTTTTTAGTTGGAGAGGGAAGCATTTTGCCACATTTTTGATACTTCCCGGATGCAAAGTGGCACGTTTTTTGCCACTGGATCTGGTCCCCCACTGTACAAGGGAAGCACCCCACGTGCGATGCTCGGATTTCTTTAAATTTTGCCCACACCCCGGGCAATTGCCACATTATTTCCTGAAAATTTTGGCTCACGCTTTGCAGAGACTGCTGGGATATTCAACGATCTTTGCGGCCCATAGGGTACGCGGAGAGCGGTCACAGGGTTAAAAACACTTTTTAGCCATGTCTTTGCTAGTTTCGCGAGGAAAACATTGATTTTTTTGTGGAGATATTACCCTCTACGGTAGAGTTAAACATGAAACTTTTCATGCCGAAGTTCGTTAAAAAAGTGTCGAAGTTTTGCCGACTTTCGGTCTAAAAATTTCTCGTAAGTACAATGGCGGAACTGATCCAGTTGCAAAAAACGTATCATTTTGCATCCGGGAAGACATCAAAAATGCGGCGAAATGCTTCCCTCTCCAAGTGAAAAAACTCCAATTTAAAAAACGCGCCCGCTCTTTTTGTGAGGGAATATGGAGAGGGAAGCATTTTGCCACTTTTTTGATGCTTCCCTGATGCAAAATGGCACGTTTTTTGCCACTGGACCGGGTCCGTCGCTGTATCCGATGTGAATTTTGAACCTAAAATTCTTTCCATGCGAATATCTTGACTGTTTATTTCTCGCTGCCGTCAATAGACATTTGTACGGTTACAGAATTTTGCCAAAGTTCTGGATGAACTCCACAGACCTCATTGACTCCCTTTCCGAGCCCGATCCATTTTATGTCACCATTCGGCATCTGCATCATGTCTACGAGTATCTGTTGGCAACAATTTCCTTTTCTCTGAATGGCTGCGTCGTCTATCTGGCGGTGACGACGAGAAACCCCACCATGAAGAATTATTGTTGGGTTCTGTTAATGAGCGTGGCTGGTGATATGATTTATACCTCGTTGAACTTTTTGAGCATGATGGTAAGTGTTGGAACAAATGGGGGAAACGCTGCAAGTGTGGCAAGGGTCTTTGTAAGGCCGGGACTCGAAAATTTTGAAAACGGACCGGCCGTACTTTTCATTGGACCAAGCCTGTTAGCAATTTATATTTTACTTTCTTGTACAGTGACGATCCTAATCCAGTGGTAAAAAAAAGTACCATTTTGCATCCGGGAAGTATAAAAAATGTTGCAAAATGCCTCCTTCTCCTACAGTGGGGGACCTGATCCAGTGGCAAAAAACGTATCATGTTGCTTCCAGGAAGCATCAAAAAATGTGGCAAAATACCTCCCTCTCCAAGCGAAAAAACTGAGATTTAAAAGCGTTCCCGCTCTTTTTGTGAGGAAGAAGGGCGCGCTCTTCAAAACGAAGTTTTTTCACTTGTAGAGGGAAGTATTTTGCCACATTTTTGATACTTCCCGGATGCAAAATGATACGTTTTTTGCCACTGGATCGGGTCCCCCACTGTACAAAGAAAACCTCCGTTTTGAAGGGCGCGCCCTTTCCCTCACAAAAAGATCAGGCGCGCTTTTGAAATCGGAGCTTTTTCACTTGCAGAGGGAGGTATTTTGAAAAATTTTTTGATACTCCCCGGATGTAAAATGGTACGTTTTTTGCCACTGGATGAGGTCCGCTACTGCAGAGTCATCCGAAACTGCTGCATTCAACCGCATTCCAGATCGTTGAAATCCGCGCCGGCAAAATGTGGTTCATAACGACCGGCCCATTTATTCATAGTGGCTACCCCTACAACATGTTAATGTCGTCGCTCTACCTCTCCGGAATGTATGTTACAATCATGACAATTATGGTTCAATTCGTCTACCGGTACGAGGTCCTCTGCAAAAACACCACCTCCATGAAAAAGTTCTTCAAATTGTATGCGTTAGGGATTATCTGGTCGGTTGTTCAGGGCTTTCTGACCTGGCCATGTTTCGACCCGCCAAGCGAGGAAGATACGGCGATATTGAAGTCCCATCCGATGTACACCTTCGACACTCCCACTTATGTCAATGGGGATGTGGTAGGCGTCGTTGATTTGGAAAATTTGAAGAGAATTTTTTGCAGAAAAACTTGTCCACCATGATTCATTTTACGTCCAGCCAAGTGGTTATAATTCTGTTGTACGTAGTGGTCGTAATTACTGGTCGGCGAATTCATAAGGTTCTCAATTCCGAACAAGTCAAAATGAGCAAAAATACAAGAGATGCGCAGTCGAAATTGACAACGGTGATGTTGTTACAGGTGGGTGGGAAAAAACTTCTTTTTGATGATGATTTTAGCTTTCTTTTGGGAGGTTCTTCAAGTGCGACGCTGAGGTTTTGATGAAATTTTGGGCACCACATAAAAATTCCTGAAATTTTTAACCCCACGCTTTCCAATCGCAGCCAAGAATTCAGTCTTTGGCTTCGAGAGAGCACGCAAAACGCGGAGATTGACATGGCTCTCGGGCCAGTTCGAAAATGACGGCCCGGTCGACGGAGGGGTTCGGCCCGGCCCGTTTCGAATCTCTTTTGGCCTCGAAACGGGCCGGCCCGAGTAATGTCTATGCGGGGATTCTGACTCAGCCTTTTCAATGCGAATTTTGACCAACATTTATGTAAAAAGCCTGCCCTGGCGCCATGTCCAGTCTTAACTATGTACCCCAAGTGCGACGCTCAGATTTTCTTTGAATTTTGCACACACTCCTGGCATAGGCTGGATATCAATTCCTGAAATTTTTAGCTCGCGCTTTCCAGGGATAGCCGAGATATTCAACGATCTTCGCGGACGAGAGAGCAGGCGAAATGCGGAGAGCGGTCAGAGAAAACTCTTTTGGGCTCTATCTTTGCCTATTTCGTGCGGAAAAAATAATTTTTTTTGTGGAAGTATTACCCTCTACGGTAGAAATAATCATGAAACTTTTTATGCCAAAATTTACAAAAAAATTGTTGCATTTTTTCCAACTTTCGACTAAAAAATCTCGGTTGTTTCTGCAAACCGCGAACTAGAACACTCGCATGTGGCTTAGAAAAAATAGCAGGTTAAAATTCGCAAAAAACAAATGTTACATTTTTTTCAAATTTCGACCGAAAAATCTCGGTCTTTTCTGGAAAGAGCAATCTTTCTAGCTTGCCCTTTCCAGAAAAGAGAAACCTTGCACATGGCTTACAAATTGTCAGAAAAAATTATCTTACATTTGTGCCGAGTTTCATCAAAATTTGAGCGTTCTACTTTCGCCTTCCCTTGTGCTTCCCTTGACAGTACACTTTCTGCAAAACTTCCGGATATAACTGCAATTGATTGCAGGCGACCTACCCCGGAATCATCGTCGGGACCCCGGTTTTTATTGGCTGTGGAATGGCTCAAATGAAGATGGATGTCCTGTGGTCCGGGATGTATTTCGTCACTTCGATCTCATTTATTCCAATCGCCAACGCCTTAACCGTACTTCTCGTGATTCCATCGTTTCGGCGGAGAATTTTCCGAAAAACGGGGAGAAAACTGACGGATTCCAGTGGCGTCTCTGCACGCTCCATTGGAGAGTCCGTGGATCGGCGGAGGCCTTCAGAAGCATACGCAATGTCATGAAAAATAAACAACGCCTTAAAAGACGATTTTTGGCTCGCTGCGTCAGCGGTGGACATAGGAAAAAATCGATTTTGGGTTTTTTGCATAAAAATGACCGTCGACATGTGCTAAGGAAAAGCGAACAACAGTTTTTCTCAATTCTGCCCGGAAGGCATAAATTTGCTTAAATTTGTCTTTTTTGGAATTTTCGACCTGGTGACGTCATAGAAAGAGCAAATCACCCAAAATTTTGCTTGTATACGTTTTCGACCATTGGGAATTCATTTTTTTGAAAATTAAGTCTCTCAGATTACTGTAACATAGGTATATTGTAATCCGGTCGATAAAAATCGACCGTAACTCCTTCGTATCAAAAATCCCACAGGATTTTATTTCAGATTCAGAATCAGCATAAAATTTTGCATATTATACACATAATGTGAGGTCATAACTCCAGGGGGGAGATCGCGTAGTATATTGGATTTTGGCAAAAATTACGTTTGAAAGGTCGCGGGTTCGATCCCCGCTTGGTGCAAATATTGAAAACACAGCGGAAATCGCGTTTAATGGATACCTCAGGGTTAGGTGAGATACAATAAGCAATTTTAAACATTAACGCGTATCTAATTGCGATTAAAACTGATTTTATATAATTTTTGGAGACTGAATATGCAAAAAATGAAACTGCTTCAAACCGCTTGAAATTGGCGACACTTATTCTAGGGTCAATTATAAGAAACTTTTGTGTTAACTTTTTTCGGTAGATCACCGTACCATGGATTATTGTAACATTAAACATGATTTGGTTTTTCGTGTACCACATGGCGCAGAAAAGTCGGACTGTCGTCATTGTGCTCAAAATGGTTAAGAAAGAGTTTTCTTGTGTACAAAAAAAATTTTATGGCTGTACCGTTTGGAACGGCCGAATTATTTGACGCACTTTCACCATTTGATTATGACATCAAGACGCGTTACAATTAAGGGCGAATTTTCTTTCAGATATAGAAAGTGGATCTTTTCGCTGTCTAAAGCGACTAATTAAAACGATTTATTATTTTATGCAAGAATTTTGAAGAAAATTGCTGTTAATCAGGACACGTTTAATGCTACAGTAATCCATAGTACGGTGATCTACCGAAAAAAGTTAACACAAAAGTTTCTTACAATTGACCCTAGAATAAGTGTTGCCAATTTCAAGCGGTTTGAAGCAGTTTCATTTTTTGCATATTCAGTCTCCAAAAATTATATAAAATCAGTTTTAATCGCAATTAGATACGCGTTAATGTTTAAAATTGCTTATTGTATCTCACCTAACCCTGAGGTATCCATTAAACGCGATTTCCGCTGTGTTTTCAATATTTGCACCAAGCGGGGATCGAACCCGCGACCTTTCAAACGTAATTTTTGCCAAAATCCAATATACTACGCGATCTCCCCCCTGGAGTTATGACCTCACATTATGTGTATAATATGCAAAATTTTACGCTGATTCTGAATCTGAAATAAAATCCTGTGGGATTTTTGATACGAAGGAGTTACGGTCGATTTTTATCGACCGGATTACAATATGCCTATGTTACAGTAATCTGAGAGACTTAATTTTCAAAAAAATGAATTCCCAATGGTCGAAAACGTATACAAGCAAAATTTTGGGTGATTTGCTCTTTCTATGACGTCACCAGGTCGAAAATTCCAAAAAAGACAAATTTAAGCAAATTTATGCCTTCCGGGCAGAATTGAGAAAAACTGTTGTTCCCTTTTCCTTAGCACATGTCGACGGTCATTTTTATGAAAGAAACTCAAAATCGATTTTTTCCTATGTCCAGGGTCCATTACGGGCTGACGCAGCGAGCCAAAAATCGTCTTTTAAAAGGCAAATGCTCAAAGAGTGGCGGTCGGATTTCTTGTAATTTTTGCGCTTGCATAGGGTCTGGGCTATGTATCAATTCCTGGGGGATGTTTCACGTACAAAAAGGGCACTAACTCGAGTTAGCGGCATCACAGAAGAAGCGGAGAGAGCAGAGAAAAAGAGGAGTGGTAACTCGAGTGACCTGACTTTTTATCGACTTTGACCGCACATTTTGCTCCATAACTTTTGATACAGTGGACCAATTTGCGCCCTTCCAAAAAAATATTAATGCTGGTGGTACACAGAATCGATGGATATAAATTTGTAAAATTTTCTTCTAAATTATGCAAATTATATGCAAATTTTTGTCTTGGTATCTTAAGGCTCGTCTTTTATTAAAATCTTTATATGGACATGTTTATTACGCTCTCAGCATCAAAGGGTTTTTTTGAAGGGTGTATATTGGTATACTGTATCAGGAGTAATGGCCCGCGCAACAGTGGGCGAGAATCTTTTGGTCATAACTTTTGTCGCAGTAAACCAATTTGCAAATTTTTAAGAAATCCGCTGTTATTTTCCCGACAGACTGATATAATATTTACTATGTTCGCTTGGCAAGTTTATCTCTCTCCAAATCCTTTGCCGATCCAACTTTTGCCTAGCTGTTGGTGCAAATTCCGGAACCGATCCATGTTTTTGGCTGGTCATTGGATGTGTCAGTCTGTTGGTAAAATAATGGGCACAACTTCGCTGCGCCGATCGCGTCGCTGAATTGAGAAAAAACAATTTGATTTTGCCGCAAGACAACTCATTCTCTCGACGGCGATACGATTTTGGATGCGACAGAAGACTCATTATTTTCCAGACAGACTACAGTAAGACACATTGTACACAGCCCGCGTTTCCCCGAGTATGAGCAATCCTCTGCACCGAGAATCCACTTCCTCGAATATTTTATCACTTCCCGCATTTGTCATTCAAATTCGCCGGCTACAGGTGGAATTTTTCGAGTGGAAAATCTTCGGAAAATAATAACTTTCTACACAATTTAGAATTAATTTCACTTAGGTCTCCAAGTACTCATACAAGATGTGAAAATACTTGTGGGCTTTCTTGTATTGCCTTTTCCAGGAACATTTGATTATACGCCGTTTTTGAAAGGAATATGTGTAGACTAAAGGTTACGAGGAAAAATTGGGAGAAATGGCTTGTTTTGCGAGCGGCACATGGATTTTTAACGGTTTGCGAAAAATGAACATAAGCTGTTTACGGCAAAACGTTTGATCTTATTGTTAGGCGCAGGACTTTCTTGGTATGTATACTAGCCCTTCCAGAAGTCTCTTTGTCCGATTTTCGATGAGACAGAGTGCTCATTATTTTCCCGACAAGCTAATAGACTGTTTGTAAAAATGTCCACGCACTTTATGAAGATACCTTGTCCTAACCAAATCCTCAAATGACCCTATGAATTCATCATACGCTACCTTTAGACTACCCCAGATGCAAGGGGATTCCCCTCTTTTCAACGTCACATACCCTCCGCCTGATCCGTTTTTTACCAAATACAGGGAATTTCACCATGTCTACGAGTATTTGATTGCCGCCATTTCGACCACGCTCAATGGAACGGTGGTTTATCTCGCATTAACCACAAAGAATGCAACCATGAAGAATTATTGTTGGGTTCTGTTGATGAGTGTGACCGGCGACATGATTTACACCACCATCAATTTTATCACCATGATGGTAAGTGTGCGCGCAACAGGAGGTGTGGAGACAGTTTGATGACTTTTGCTGAAGAATGGCTGTAGGAAGTGCCTAAAAGCCCTAACAAAGCCGTTGGATGGTCGGCGGACGCTCGGCGGAGACTTGACGAAGACTTGCAATATGTCCAATTTTTCTAATTTTAGCTATTACTAACGTTAGTTTTCTTACCCTAATGTAAGTAACTAAGACATATAAAAGACCAAAATTCGCGGAGGAAAACGAAGATCTTTTATCTAGGCATTATTGATGAGAATACATGCAAACTACCTCAAAACAAACAATAAGCTATCCTAGGACCCGATAAATATTGTCATTTCTATAATAACAATTAAGCCTTCTGCTAGTCTCCTCCGTGCATACAACAACGAACCGACGCAATCCATAGTATCATAGTATCGTTGACCCGAAAAGTCGTAGCGTCATTTACATTCCCTCAAATCTTATACATTTTCAAGGATGTGGCCAAAGCGCGACGCTCAGATTTCGATAAAACTTTCTCAAATTTAGTATAGTTTTTTCTAATGTAAGACATATGTCAGAATCCTAGCTCACGTCTTGCAGAAACGACGGAAATTTTTAGAATTTTTTAGATTAAATTGTGAAAACTGTCAGACTTTCTTTTTTTGGCAAATTTTGTCATGAAACCCTTGGCATCACTCTCCTCATAACTTCCATGACTCCTTACCTTCCACGCCTGCTTTATTTTCAGATTGTTGAAATCCGCGCCGGCAAGATGTGGTTCATCACAACCGGCCCCTTCGTACATAGTGAATACCCATACAACATGCTGATGTCATCTCTCTACCTCACCGCACTTTATGTCACAATTATGACGATTATGGTACAATTCCTCTACCGGTACGAAGCTCTGTGCAAACGAGATTTTTCAATTCGAAAGTTTTGCAAATATTACGCAATAGGCCTGAGTTGGTGCGTAATTCAGGGCTTCACCACGTGGCCGGTTTTTGATAGGCCGAGTGCTCAGGATACGATCGTTTTGAAAGGACATCCCATGTATACGTACGACACTCCAAGCTATGTGAATGCGAATACGGTAAGTGTTTTTTGAAGTTGAAATTTAGGGTTCTCCGGTATAAAGATTACGGTATATTTTGGTTTATAATTCTAGCGCCGCGTTTACGAAAACAACCGAGATTTTTAGGTCGAAAGTTGGAAAAAATGCGAAACTTTTTTGCGAATTTTGGCATGAAAAGTTGTATACTTAATTCTACCATAGAGGATAATATTTTCTCAAAAAATCTATTTTTTCCACACGGCACTGGCAAAGATATCGCCAAAAAATGTGTTGTCTCTGACCGCTCTCCGTGTTTCGCGTACTCTCTCAGCGACAAAGATCGTTGAATTTCTCGGCTGGCCCTGCAAGATGCGAGCTAAAATTTTCAGGAATTGAGAAATGGCCTATGGCTGGCGTGTGTGCAAAATTTAAAGAAAATCTGAGCGTCGCACTTGGGGTACCTCCCTTGCAATGGGTGATTGAAACTATGGGTAGCGCAGGGTCGAGTGGCCGGCTACTAAAGTTGTTAAAATTATAGTTAAATATTGCATATTTAGTAGCCTTCAGTACAATATTTTCTTTATTACCCCGGAATTCCCCCACCCCAGAAATCCATCATCCGAATATGCGCCATCAGAATTTTCACCACCCAAAAAAGCTATCAACTGAGAGGACCAGCTCACCCGGACGAGCATCATTAGCTCACGATTTGCAGGGACAGCCGAGAAATTCAACAATCTTTGAGGCCGACAGAGTACGCGCAACGCGGAGAGCAGTCAGAGATAAATCACTTTTTGGCTTTATCTTTGCCAGCTTCATGCGGAAAAAATTGATTTTTTGTGGAGACATTACCCCTTGTAAGACCTTTTCCTTTTCAGAGCAACACCCTTACGCTGCTTCATTTCATGTCGAGTCAGATGACGATTGTCGTTCTGTACACGGTAGTCTACATTACCGGCCGACGGATTCACAAAGCCCTCAACTCCACGCAATTTACGATGAGCAAGACCACCAGAGAGGCGCAGAGGAAATTGAGTATGGTCATGATGTTACAGGTACATTTTTAATCTCATAAAAATCAGAAAAATTTTTTTTTTATAATTTTAGGCAACGTATCCCGGAATTATCGTCGGAATCCCGGTCATCCTGGGCTGCGGCATGACTCAGCTCAAATTCGACGTTCTTTGGGCCGGAATGTACTTTGTGACGTCGATTTCTCTAATTCCTCTCGCCAATTCTATCACCGTTCTTTTGGTGATCCCATCGTTCCGGAAAAGACTCTTCAGAATCCCCGGAATTCGCATCAAAACGTCAACCACATCAGAGAACAGCATTATCCGACGTGTGGCAGAACGAGAAGTTCATACGGTGGCTTGAAAAGGAATGAGAAAAAAATTTAGTAACTAGTGTAATATCATTCTAAAAAGTTGAATAAAAGATTAGAAAAGGTGTTTAAAATAATTTAACGCATATCCAAAGGCTTCATCTCGGTTATCTTTTGATTCTACCTTTTCAAAATCCGAAAATCGACAATTTTAAGTTTAATCGTATAAAATATCCCTGCAGTCTGCAGACTCTTGGCACAGCCTGGGCGCAGCTCGCAAAATGATGTTATCATTGTCCAGCGCGGATTACGGCAATTTTCCAGTCCAAGGTTGATTTTATCGTTGATTCGAGGTGTTGAACTGCTTCTAGCCCCGTTTCCACTGCAGACTCGGTTCTTTTCAGCGTGTTTTGCTTGATTTATGGAGTGATTTTTACTGTTGTTTGTTATAGAGTTCCTGGCCGAGCACACACACGATGAAGATTAAGGATAAATTGAGGAACGCATTGGTAAGTGTACATTCCACCTTTCTTTATCAATTTCGGGCTTAGAGTTATCGTTTCTACATCCAGTTTTGAGAAATTTCATATTATCCATGGCTAACTTACTTTTTTCCAGAAAATGGGTAATAAACCGGAACCTAAAGGAGATTCGGCACCCAGCAAGCAGGACGAGGAGTCTGAGGTGCCAGCTCCACAGGAAAGCAAAGATGAGACCGCTTTTTTCAGCGCCCGCGATGAGGACAGTTCCAGCTGTTCGTCGGTAAGGCTTGCGTAATGATTTTCTGATCGGTTTTTAGGTTACATAAGTGTTTGTAGCTTGAATTTAGCTTTACTATCGGTTCATTACAGATTTGCAACGAATCACATCGTCGTCGTCGAGTTTCATCGGCAGCTTCGGAAGCCTCGCTGAAAAGCGGACGAGATGACTCCGATGCAGGTGGAATATCCGGCGAAGTCTTTGATAACTCCGAAGATGGTGAGAATTGTGACGGGAAAAGCAATGAGGCATTGGCCGGTTCCATCAGTAGTGCTAAGGATGAAGTAAAAATTGAGAACGAGCAAGTAGAAGATAAATCTGTTGAAAACTCTCCGAATGAAGAGACTCTACGGAAAAAGCATGATGAATCGGAATCCGAAGAGCCTGAAAAGGATGTAAATGATCCTCTTGAACATGACGGTACCTATGAGAATCTTCCCCATGACATCAGTGATCACCATGAAGAATACTCGTTTGTGGAGCCAGTTGAAGAGGTGGATCCCATCCCAATTGGTCAAACGATTGCTCCCGAAGTCTTCTTCAAGAGTTATCAAAAGTATGTAGATAGCCACGCTCCCAAGGAGGTGCCCGATCAAGGTGCTGAGGAAGAGGAGAAGGATGAAGAAAGGAGTGAGGGAAGTTGTTCGGAGGGTAACGAGGACCAGAATGACGTTAGTGCGGAGGAATTGGAGAGTCGTCAGGGCTCGGAGGATGAAGAGGTTACCGAAAAAGATCAGAAAGTTGAGAAGATCGGTGAGTTTTTTCACTTTTTTTGTTGATGCCTTTAGGTCTGACGTCAAATGTGGTTTAAAAATGCGCCAAAATTTTCTTGAGAGTATTGTCTTTGAGCTGCATCGAAGATTTTATTCTTCTGTTTACGTTTGTCTGACTAAAATTCCATTTTTTTAGTTGACGATAGCCATGGACAAGGTATTGACGAAGGACAGGTGGATTCTAGCCACGAAGTGGCCGAGTTCTCCTGTTCCGACGATGAATTTACGCCACCTCAAAGCCCAGCGAAAATTCAGCCGGGCAACGAAAAGATTTCGGAGCAAAACGAAGCCCCAGTAGAAGCTCCTCAAGCAGACAAAATCGCCATGGATGAGGTCCGAAAACCTTGCCATTTCTCGGTCCCCGAACGCCCATTGATCGACCAATCTGCCTTGTTCGTAAAAGCCACAAGCCCAAGAACTCTGCCTTATCTGACCGTCGACCAGACCGAGTTTGAGTATAAGGAAATCACACCGCAACATTCGTCGCATTATGAGGATATTATCCATGAAAATTTCGAAAAAATTGAACCTGCTGAACCTTATGATGGTCTTGAATGGTTCACGGATGAGCCTTCACCGCAATACCCAAGTGGGCGGCTTCCTCACAGCATCTTTGTAGGTGATTTTGGTTTTTTATCTTACTTTAGGTAGTTGTCGGAAATGGAATTTCTGAAACTGTTGATGTTTGAAACGCATTGTCAAAGGGAAATTACTTTATGATAGGATGTTATAAGCATACAGGGGGAATTTGCGATTTCTCTACCATTTATTGGGTATATATTACGTGTTTTTGCGAAATCGGGATATTACTTTTGGTGCCGAGACATTTTTTGATTTTTTTTGCCTCTAATACTGTTGAATATAGAAGAATATTAGCTTCATAGGACCTCTGAAGAAAACTACGTCGATTGAAAGTATTTTTAGCCAAGGAATTTTTCAATTTTTTTCGTAAAATTTAATTTTAGGACAACTTCGACAAGAGGCGAGTTCGTCGAGTGCATGCTTACCAAATCACGGATGACCGCCCCATCGATCTCCCAGAACCAGTCGACTACCTCATTTCTTATAATGACACCTACACCGCCGTGGGATTTGTGAAGTCGCCGATAAACGCCAAACACTCCGCCGTCCCCATCAGCATTCGGTTTGGAGGATTTTGGGCCAAAAATTGGCTGGGCAGGATTTATCTCGGATGCACAGTGCGAGTAAAGCAGTACGTTTTGACATGCAAGAACCTCCACACCGATTTGGTGGAATTTCAAAGCGGAGATCGGGACTATGCTGTGCGAGATCTTTTTGGTTCAGGTGGGTCATGAATAATATAAAATTATGATGAATTATGAATATAAAATGGATTTCTTTGGTTGGTTTTTGTGTGATGAGACGTTATGTGATGTGGTGAGGTAAGAGGTTTGACTTATTTTTTCAGGAGTTCCGGTGGCTTCGACCTTTGCCACTCAATGGGCTGTTGTTGAGCAGCCGAAAATCGTTCGATCTCTGGGAATTGTCCTCGGCGTGGAACCGGGAACCTCCTTATTTGACTTTACAGCCACCATCGGAGACGTGGAATACAACCAGAAGTTGACGGCGTCGATCGAGCGCTGGCCGGCTGATCTGAAGGAACCCCCAAAAGTTGCTCGACCAGTGCTGATTAATTGGGTTTATGTAAGTTGAATTGGTGTTTTAGTACGTGAAAGATTGCGTGGAATTAGATAAAAGCTTTTTGGGCGCCTTAGAAGTTCATTTTTGGGCAATAAGCTCAAAAATTTGACATGTGATACCTAGTACAATATAAATTTGCTCGTAATTTTGTAGGTAGAACAACCGCATGCCCTCTTCTGGACCAGAGGATCCTTTGTGGTCCTCCCACCCCACCTCAGCCATATCATGCATCCGGCCAAGGGCGTCTCGGAGGATCGCTATGTTTTCGGCGGGGTTGACCTCACCTCGGAACCGAGCCGTCCCACCATCAAGTGCAATGCTAAGAAACTCTGAATTTGCTTTAATAATATTTGTAACTCTTTGTTGTCTTTTATATATCAAATGTTTCCTATGAATAGCCGTTGAGTTCTATTTTTTCCAATAAATTATATTGAAATAGGTCGTGATGGGCTGTAGATGAAATTTGGAGGGAAATAGTTGATTTGATGACGGGTTGGCATGTTGGTTGTGTATTTTGTGGTTTTGTGATGTCGTTAGGCAATTTGGGGTAAAGGATAATGTCAAAAAATACAGTAATCTTTGATGATATTGTAGTAGGTGTTTCATGTGTGAAGATAAGGTATTTTTAAATATTAAACATTCATTTTGGAGTCGGAGAAGTTAACTATACACAATATTGATCATCATTGATTTTATGTTTGTTAAAAATAAAACTAATTTTTCAAAAAAAATGTCATGGAATAATAGGTTTATTTACCAGCAGCTGGTTTTCGTGGTTGATTAGCAGCCGACTGTTGCTGTGGATTACGAGTAGTCGGCTGTTGAGGTGTATTAGCAGCAACCGGCCGTTGTTGCGGTGGATTAGAAGCTGCTGGCTGTTGCTGTGGTGGATTACCAGCAGCTGGCTGTTGTTGTGGCGGATTAGCAGCTGGTTGTTGTTGTTGGGGTGGATTGCCAGTAGCCGGTTGCTGCTGTGTATTACCAGCGGCTGGCTGTTGTTGTGGTGGCTGTTCTGAAGGTGTGCCTGGGGTTCTCGTAGTTTCCCTTGGTTCTTTTGGTCGTCCCTGGTGGCTGGACGGGGCTTCTTTCGGATTGTGGAGGACATGGTTCAGGAAGTTGATTTTGTTGGCCGGCATTTGGATGTTAGGCTAAAAATTTAACTTTATTGCATATACGGGCTTATAGTCGGATTATTTTGCAGCGAGATTACTGTAGCCACCCTAAACTTCATTCAAATGGCAAAAATTTAATTTCAAATGGGACTTGGGATACTGTAACACCCCAAAAACCCACCGATTTGTCCATCACCGAGCTGTTGATGAAATGGAATCGTTGTGAAGCCACATAGCGACGGAAAATGACCACAAGTAATCGCTGATAAGCCCGGTTATTTTGCTGCTCAACTTCCGCCTCTGCTTCAAGGTCGAGTTGATCGCGGAACATCTAAAATACGACATTTTTCTTTCATTTTTCAATTCACTTTTGCCCAATAATTACACAGCTCAATGCCCAGGACAATGATATTAAATGGCGGAGGCAGAGTGGTGTGTGTATGCCAGTACTCGCTGTAAATGTAGGATCGGGTGTACTTCCATTCGGGCTCTTCGTTTTCCTAAAAGATTTTAGGTTCGTTCAAGTTTTAAAATACGTCGGCAAGGTTTTATTTCGAAGTGTGAACTCATATTTTATCAAAAAAGGAGTTTTTAGGGTTGACCCCGATCTTCAGGGACTTCGTGTTGGGACTCAAAAAAAGTTTAGAAATAGGAATAAAATGAGTGTAGTCAGAGGGTAAAATACGAGTTTATAATTTACGCAGATAATTTTAAAAAATTTCGCGGCGGGACCAAAAAATTTTTTTTTTCAAAAAACTTCACAGGGGACTCGGATTTACTTATAAGTAAAATTTTTTACTTATATTTACCAATAACTTACATATAAGTTAAAAAAGGCGGGGCTTATTTATTTTTACTTATATTTACGTTTATTTACTTATATTTACAAATAGCGGTACTTATATGTAAAAAACGGCGGAGCTCGTTTATTTTTACTTATATGTACATATATGAGCCTCGAAAAGAAAACTTTTGAGCGTCAAAGACGCTTTTTGGTTTCTGCACGCGTTGGCCGGACTTAGAAAAATTCTAAGTTTTTGGAGCGTCAAAGAACGTATCTCAACCTTGGATCGAATAAAGTAAGTTGCTTGTAGTCAGTTTTTTTCTTTTACAGGGTAACAGAGTGCTCGGATCAAAAGTTGCGAACGCGAGAACCTTCCCGAGCATGGAGCATGTTAACGTCAAACTTCACGCAGTTCCCAAAAATCTATGAACAAGCACTATGAGGAAAGAATTTGGATGAACAACTGTGTGCTCAAACTTGGTAGGTGTTTTTTAACTGTTTTCACATTTCATAAAACCAAAGATTTTTCCAGACATAGTTTTGCTATGTTGTACTAGGTCCAGGTGAAGCCTCTAGGTTTCAGATTATCGAAAAATTGGTCGTGGAGGGTAGTAAATGGACAATGTACACACGATCCCGGAAAAATGGCACTCGGATGCTTCAGGTATGTTGAGAATATTCACCTGGACCTAGTGCAACATGACAAACTTGGTGTCTCGAAATTTCATTGGCAAACTTGGTGAACCTAAAACTAATTTTTTCGGGGTGCAGAAACAAACAATTGAGAAGGGCTTATAGTAAATATCGTCAAACGCCCTTATCTTCTTTATTTTTGCTATTTTCAGTGAATCCAGACGCAGAAATCGCCATAGAAGATCCCGAAAATAAGCAATTGATGCCTCATGAGGACAACAACAGATGAGAAACCTATCCGGAGCACACAAGATGCGTTACCGACTTGTATTTGTCGTTTTTGAGAATCGAAATAAACGTTTATAATATAATCTGCACTGTGCGTAATTCTGGGTTACAAATAAGTAAAGTGTCCTTATTGGTAAATATAAGTAAAATATCCTTATTTGTAAATATAAGTAAATTCGGAGCGCGCCGAAAATAAAGTTTACATATAAGTAATTTCAGAATTACTTATATGTACGATTATTTACTTATATGTACGTTTATTTACTTATATAAACTTCAATTTCATATAAGTAAAAAAGGCGTACATATAAGTAAATCCGAGTTCCCTGTGTTGCTACTTCATCAATAAAAAATTATTAAAAAGTATTTGTAAAATACGGGAGAATTTCCTCTATATTAGATAAAAAAATACGAACTTAATGTTTTTTCAAATTTTTTTTGAATCGATTATAACTTACCATAATGACATGCGCCCTCTCCACCAACAACGAGATCATCAAATTCAGCAACGAAATAACCATGACCATGTAGTACAGCACACTCAGCATTTCGATTCCGGCCTGCGCCATGGACTTGTTGAAATTGTCGGCCGAAAAATCGTAGGCTGTAAAGTGGTAGTCGGAGGGCGAAAGGTAGCCGTAAAATGCCCAAAACAAGTTGCGAAAGGCGTGGGTCAACCTGAAAATGCAACATGCAATTTTTGGGAGAGTCAAAAATATGATTTTCACGGAAAAAACTATCAAATTTTGGAGTTTCAAGTTTTCGTGGTGGGACCGAAATTTTAAGATGACTCAAAAAACTAGTCGAGATTTTGGATACTACAGCATTTTTCTTCAACAAAAACAATTTTTTTGGACGTAAAAAAATTCAATTTCAAATTTCCCGCCAAATTACATTTTTTTGGGTCCCACCACGGAAACCTGAAAATCAGAGAAATTTTGATTTTTCGCACCGAAACTGGGCAAAATCAAATGCAAAAGGGGTAAAAATCTCGTTGAAAACATACAGTGAAAATTTCTCCACATGGTACGGCTGGGCGATCAAATTCAGCGCAATGGAAAACGCGACCATCACCAGTCCCATAATGAAAAAATATTCGACGACTTCGCCCATACATCGGCCAGTTGAGATCTGAAATTAATTTAACACTTGATTTTGGATGTTTTGATTGGTAAAATACGTATGTTCCGATTGGTAAAATACGTATAGAAATATTGTGTATGACATACAATGGTAGATCCCAAATTCCGAAGCAACTGCAGATTGTAAAGCCCGCGAGCGGTCGCCAACAGACAAGCAAACGAGAAGACAATATCGTAGTAGACTTGCAAATGTCCGGGATCGTTCATCGACTCGTTCGGATTGTAGACTTGACTCTCGCCGAGCAGACAAATGTGCAGTATAAAAACGGTCAACATTACGTGACACATTGCATAATCTATCCTGAAATTGACTCAAATTAGTTTACGAGGCCACAAGTTGCTGGAGTTTTGAATTTTACGAGGCTATGACATTGTTCTCTGATTTTCAGGGATTTCGTGGTGGGACTTAAATTTCGGTCATTTGATGAGAAAAGCGATAAATAAAAAAAATATTCGAAAAAAATATTACTTTCAACTTCATAGTAAGTGTATTCACCATGTTGTCAACACCATATGAATATTTTTGGGTCTTGCCACGAAGACCCTGAAAATCAGGAAAGTCATCATTTTATTCGCCTATTAGGTGGATAAAGCCGCCAACTGTATTATAATGTTAGAAAAACTTGGAATTTTTACTATGCCTCTAAAATTACCACTGTAATTTCGATGAACAAAATTCTACACTGTGCAATGTAAAACATAAAAAAAAAGATTTTTTCTTTATTCCACCCACCACTTCCACCACATGTCAAAGAAGAACTCCGCGCCCATAATCCACATCGATGCCGCTTGATCCAAAATGAAGCCCACAAAATAGCTGTAGATATAAGCGAAGAAGAACGTGTGCGGAGTCAGCCATCCCACTCGCTCCACGTCGGGCTGATCGAAAACCCGACTCAAGAAAATACAAGTCAATAGGATTAAATAGGCGGCCGTTTGGCTGATAAATCGCGCAACCGGATTCTTGAACGAAGTGAAATATTTTCCACCCGATAACACGTGGATGGGTCCAATGATTGGATACAGTACTCCATGGCGGACGATTCGCATAAAGTCACGGCGTCTGTTGAACCCAAAATCGGTCCATTTGCCCATCCATTGAAGGGACGTTACAGATTGGACGTTAACATGGCTTACGAACTGAAAAATCGCAAATATTGATGATTTTCAGAGATGTTTTTTGAATTTTAAGAGAAAATGACGTCATACAAAAAAATCCAGACAAATATTATATTTTCAATTAATTTACAGTCTACCTGGTCGATTTGAGTCTCCTACAAGACTTTTCAAGATTTCGTGTCGGGACCCAAATGGTCCCGCAACGAAAGTTTGAAAATTCAAAAACACGCTCAGAAAGCAACTTCTTTTGTCCGAAAAAGGTCTCTTTAAACCTTAAATAAGTTATAGGCAATACTATACAGGGTGTCCCAAAAAAAATGCATGTTTTTTTATGGCTGCATTTTATATACCATACAAAATTTAACAAAACTAACGATGGATATCAGTAACATAGAGGATTATTGATAACGTGTCAAGCCAGTTTCATAGTGGCTGCCTTTGGTGGCGATATAGGGCTCCAAACGTAACATAAAATTTTGGGCTCGGGGCCGCAGCTCTTTTCGGGGAAATCGGTCCCGTTCTCGGCGCAACGACAACTCTGCGACTCCAAACTTTTGTGGCGCGTAGTACAGGCGTTGGTCTCCAATTAAAAAAAAATTTGGTCTGTCGGATTCAGATCCGGCGCGCAGACGGCTATTTTGCAGACGGGATAAAATCGGGAAAATCGGTTCCATTCCGGGCCCTGAGTTGATTTTGCTTTGTGAGCCGGCGCTGAGTCTAGTTGGAACCCCAAGTTTGCATTGCCAAGGTTCTGCTGAGTCAACAGAAGTACGAGAAAATCGAGATTAACGCGGCGCTAGAATTTTGCCTCCTTGATCCGCGAAAACCATAGAATTCTTGCCGCTGGCACAAATTCCGCCTTACAAGGGAATGGACTTTATGTGTAAATCGATTTTGGCTTGGGACCTAGTCAGATCGAAAGGTGTGTGGTAGTCGATTATTCACTTGGGGGGAAATCTCTGCGCGGGGCTTCAAAGCCGAGAAAATCGGCTTCAAAGTTTGGACGAAAGTCAAAGGATAAGGATCCCGGAAAAGGAGCGATAAAAAGTGTGAAGCAGTGGCCGAGTGGTCAGTGCGCTCGCTTTTTGCGCAAAAGGTCGCAAGTTCGAATCTGCTTCCATTCATAAGTTTTTTAGACAAAAACTTCTATTAATTTTTTTCCCCTGAACTCGATTATCGATACAAGAAGTATATTTTAAACGGAACTTTTCCATTTTCAACGGCTTCGCAGCTTCCCTTTACAGTTTTAGAGCGCAGGGCACACCATCAACCTGATGTATTCAAAAACAACTTTCCATTATGTTAACTTTTTTATCTATACCCCTTTTTTAAATGTACAGCCGGATTAGCACGAAGAAAGCAAAAGTAAAAACGATAAATGATGACTTGGGCTTGGAAAGATTCGAACCTGCAACCTTTTGCGCAAAAAGCGAGCGCACTGACCACTCGGCCACTGCTTCACACTTTTTATCGCTCCTTTTCCGGGATCCTTATCCTTTGACTTTCGTCCAAACTTTGAAGCCGATTTTCTCGGCTTTGAAGCCCCGCGCAGAGATTTCCCCCCAAGTGAATAACCGACTCCCACACACCTTTCGATCTGACTAGGTCCCAAGCCAAAATCGATTTACACATAAAGTCCATTCCCTTGTTAGGCCATGACGGCCCGGATTTTGACAGTTTTCGACGTTAGCCGACGTTCCGAGGGCCTCATCTAAGAAGATCCTATTGTTCTGGTGGCTGTGCATCCGCCAAATAGTGAACCACGAACGAATACGCTCGCGCCTATGAGCTGCGGCCCGGCCCTTGACTTTTCGACATTTTTCGCGCCGCACGCACTTGCCGTCTACTTTAAAGATCTGAGCTTTTTACAGCTTATACAGCGTAAGGCACAGCTCATCATAGACCATTCGGGTGACCGATCGGTCGTTGATGCCGATCTCACAGGCAAATTTTTCTTGAAAATAGCGTTTTGCTGTTGGTGTTCTCCCGGTTGACAGAACCGCTGCCGGTGCGTTTTCCTTTACGTCCTGGACTCTTACTATCGTTATCAAGCTCCTTGCATCGCGTGATTACTTTTGACACAACGTCCTTTCTATACTGGACAAATTTACAACTTGAACGGCTCAAAAATAGTGAGAAAATCGCAGTTCCTTTGTTTGAGATTTTAAAAAACCATGCTACTTAATCGATATGAACACAAAACTGAAATGACTAGGGCAGAAAAACACGGAGATTTTAGCAGTACAAAAATCTTTTGGCCTGACCTAAACATTTTCGCGTCAGGACCCATGGAAAAAAACATGCATTTTTTTTGGGACACCCTGTATTATAACTCACCGGTTTCATTTGCTTCTCGATCGCCAACAATGCCCGAGGATAATGCTCATCGCAATAAATGGCTCGCGATCCCCTCTTCTGACTCAAAATCACCTCCATCTCTTCGAAACTCCAGCAGTGCTGGGAGATTGCAACAGTATACGTGTTGACTCGGTTCAAAAGCTCCGCATACACTTCCTTGTGCTCATTGTTGAAGCCCAATGACAATCTGAGGTCCTCGATCAGATGCATCGCGGAAAGAAGGGGGTCATCGGTGGCCAGCCAGAGGAATGCCTCGGAGCAGACAACTCGAAACAGGTCGAGTCGTTTCACATCCATTCGGCCGGCTGCATTGTGATGCTTACATTCAAAACAGGCACCTAAACTAATAAGTCCAGTCAAGAAATGGTCGTATTTTAGTGAATTCACGTATATTTTTTCGACTTGTCTCAATGGCTATCTTGAATACTCAAAAATCAAAGAAATCATTCAAAATTTTCGAGTGTCCTGATCCTCAGGGATTTCGTGGCGGGACCCAAAAAAGTGCAAAACTCCCTCAAAATGGTCGCAGATGAGATCTTTTTATATTGCAACTAAATCGTATTTTACCATTAAATTTCTATCTCACAGGTCCCACCACGAAAACCTGCATTCAGGGAAATCCCACAAAACCCTTTGAAAATTCCGTCCAAAATCTCACTCACAGTCGTGGCGATGTGGCAATTCGACGTAATGACCTCTCAAGAGCAGACATTCGACCAGTGCAAAGTTATTGGACAGACAAGCGACCATTAAAGGGGTGAGATGCGGAGGGAAAATTGTCGAATTAATGCATCCTGTGTGTTCGGCACTTGGACAGTTGACGAATAACTGCAGAACAAACTCAGTTAGAGGCCTACTGCCGGATAAGATGGCGATTAGAAGCACTTCCTTGAACTTTTCCACTTCTCCGGTACAAAGTTTCTCGGCCATAATTTGAGGCTTTGAGTCCTAAAAATTAGGGCCTTAAAGTGTGATAACCCGTTGAAAAATCTGTTGATTAACATTAGAAAATTCAAGAAATCTTCTGGGATACTTTTGGAGGTTTTTTGGGACGCTTGAGGTTTTCGTGGTGGGACCAAATTTTGCTTATCGCGGAATTTTTCGAAAGCGATTACAAATGTCAAAAACGCCTCAGACGTCTTATAAGCGTCTTAATAAGCCGCCTGACATTGGTACGATATTCCAGCAAGTTTTCGTTTCGAGACAATAAAAAATTTGAGTTCCAGCACGAAAACTTTAAATTTCCCAAAGCTCCGGAAAACCGCCCCATGCGACATTGCAAACACTCCGAAGCGTTCATACCTCTTCCTCAGCCGCCATCAGTCCACTAATGAACCTCTGCACCTTATCCACGTTGCGCTCTTGAACGGCGTTGCAGAAAACCCGCATCGCCAAGACGACCTCATCGCTCATGTGCCATTGATAAATGGCCTCACATCCTTCCGCTTTCACCTCCAACAACGCTTCCGGCTTCACACAAATGTGCCGGATCCCACTCAACACTCTGGCAGCGGCATCACCGGCTCCGATCATTTGAATCGACCGACCGAGAAGTGTTTAAAATAGTGAAATGAAGGGGATAGGGATTTTTGTGAAGGGTTTGTGAGAGATTTTGGAAGATTTTATGCAAATTTTGGACGATTAAAAAGTTTCCGATGCCGTACATGCATGTATACACGTTAGGTAAGATAGATTAGAATATTTCATCTGAAGCAATGGTTAGATACTTATCTGAACAATTGACAAACGTATTTTACCCCAAGCCATTCCAGCTTTCTCAATTTACCCACCATTTTGTCTTACCCAACACTTTTGATCGTATAAAAACGCCGGGGCGGCTCGCGCCCATATAACTTATGGCTTTTTTGCGCTTTCGTAAATTTTTATCTGTTTTATTATCCGAATCGTATCTTTGACGAGGTCTTGGGGACTTTTGGGGTATTTTGGAGATTTATCGGGGTTTTTATATTGTTTTTGTTTTACTAATTTTAATTTTGATAAAAAATTATGAGAAATTAGCTGAATTCCGAGTGTAACAGGGATTTTTATTGAATTTTTAGAGATTACTCGAAGAGTAATTTGAATATTGAGGTTTCTAGATGGATTTGAAGCGACTTTTTTTAATTTTATTTGAGATTACACTTGATTTTAATGTTGCTATCTAGAAATTCTTACAACTTGAAGGATCTTGCTTCGATTTGTCTGTTGTCTCGCTCGGAGCTGGTCAGTTGCATACACTTTTTATTCCACATCCTCTTACAGTAAATAATTCGGCGGATTTCAGCAACGATCCGAATTTATATTACCTATCAAACTTTTCCAGGTGCCTACGGAGATTTGTGCCTTTACTTCCGAACAATTCAAGATTGTGGCTTTGTCGGCTACCCACTAATCAGCTGGTACTTCTCCGGCAATATTTCCTAACGACCGTTTTTATAACTATATTTTTCCATAAATTGTAAACATTTTGCCTCCCGGCGCTCAGTCAGTTCAAGTTAGCATGTCGGATGCCAGTGGGGGCGGCTCCGAGCTTATGCAGCACCGACAAATTGAATTGGAGCGAAGGATTGAGAATTTTAGCAGGTGAGGAAAATTTAATTTTGTTTTTCTTAATTTAGGTATGAAATTGAGGAAGACGGAGAAAATAGCAAAAAAAATAATGCGACACAAAGCAATGTTGTTTCAGATTGGAGTAGGATACTTGCCTCTTCACAGTCAATCATTCTTTGCTATCTGCGGACAGAAATACAAGCAGAATTTTTGATTTTCTCTCCGGTTTTTCCAACAAACTCACCTAAAATAATATAGTTTCATAAAAGTTTGAAACTAATGTATTATCCACATATTTTCAGTCTCGACTACACAGAATTCCATGCTTCATCTCGTCGGCATGTCAGAGAGAAGTCAGCTCTCTTCAAGGTAGGTCTTTCAACCCACTTTTATCTTACTCTTTAGGCCCTGTGTCACTTCGAAGATGAGTTGGTTGAAGAACTCGACCATCCGGATGCTGAGCAAGAAAATACGGAGAAGTTGACGAGGGTCTACACCCATCTAGGGCATGTGCATTTGTTGGCTTTGGATTGGATAAAAGCGTTGTCGGCTTATCAAAAGGCTTACAAGTTGGCTGGATCCGCCTTCCCGAAGGATGAGAGCTGTTTGTATGGGCTGGGACTGAGCTACTTTCACTTTAGATTGTACAAACCGTAAGTGTCAGAAAAGTTTGGACTATTATTTTCAACACAAAAATTAAAATCTTCATTTTTCCAAACAGCTCTTATTGTGTTATTGATATATTGGTGAAAACTCTCATGTCTAAAGCAAATCATATCGAGTGGGTTCGCCCAAAATGGCACGTTGGGGCCGAAGGGACTGGCATTCGAGCATAGATTGGTGATGGTACTTGTGCATGGCGCGGAGGATCACAATCAAATCCGTAACATGGTCTTCCTTTTTCTTGTTGATGTCGGTCACCATTTGCATGACCTGCAAAATTTAAGGGCTAAATTTAAATTTGAGGTCTATTTTTCGATAAAATACTCATATTTGGGTCCCAACACGATAACTTGAATTTTTCCGCAGTCCTCAAAATACAGCACAAGATGTCTTCATCCATATCCCACCTTGTCAGTCTGCTCCAGAAACTGTTGTTTGGCCATCCCATAGCTGTACTTCTTTCCTTCCGTCGGTCCAATCTCGTAATCCGCTCTTGCCCGGTCCATTTGCTGCCTAACCTTGAGCAGTTTCTGCCGCTCCTCCTCGAACGCCGGGTAGTCCACGTTGACGAAGGTGCGGAGGAAATGCATCGCCTTTCTGACGTCGTCCTGCATCTGCCGATGAAACAGCGCCAACCGCTTACAGCTCTCACGAGCTGCGGTAATCGGCTAAAAATTGTTGGATTCGACAGTTAAATTTGTCGAAGTTGACAGTGACTTTTGTCAAAATTTGATTAGGAATAGGTTTAGTGTAGGCCAGTTGACTCACCTCTGGCTTCGGGAGCTCTTTAATGGCCGGCTTCAGGTATTGACAAAGCTCTTCGAACGGGTCCTTTCCCTTGGGCGACTGAACATGCATGTTTTCGGCAGCCGCAAAGTGCTGGGGATTCTGTTGAATCATCCTGCAACACTGCTTGCAGACCTCTTGAACTACGGCCTGAAAGCGGTTAGCTTTATGAAGTCTTGGGCTTCGTGGCGGCCCTATTTTTGGGAAAGCAGTAAAAAAGACGTCTAAAAAAGCTTCCGAACTCCTTACATGATACGCATCCACCCTGTTAACCGCATCCAGGTACTCCTTGCTGAGCTCGGTCTGTTTCACATTCCCCACTCGTTCTCCAATCTTCATGAACAGCTTCTTGAAGAATCCTTTCTTTGCGGTCTGTTCGGGCTCTGGTTCGGCCAATTCTAATGGCATATTCATCGCCTCGGGCATCTGGCAACTCTTTTCATCGTTCTTACTGGTCGTCGAACGGGACCTGGAATTGGAGGTTGTTGGAAATCGTCATTTTTTGTTGTAAGAAAAGTGTCGCGCTCAGATTTTCTTCTTATTTTGAGTGGTTCTTCTAACTGAAAAATCGATTCCTGAATGTTTTGGCTGCAGGCAAAGCTGGGGTATTCATCGATCTTTACAAGCGGGAGACTATGGAAAATAAGGAGAGATGGCTATGACCACCTCTGCTTGCTTTTCACAGCCTTCAGAGTTCCTTGAATATCACGGCTGTGCCCGTAAAGTGCGAACTAAAATTTTGACGGGTTGATTTTTGCTCTTGATGTATCACGAAGTCAAAATTTGAGGGAAATCTGAGCGTCCCACTTCGAGTACTTCCTCTACAGTGGCGGACCTGACCCAATGGCAAAAAACGTACCGTTTTGCATCTGGGAAGTATCAAAACTGGCAAAATACCTGCCTCTCCAAGTGAAAAAACTTCGTTTTGAAGGCCCTTTCCCTGACAAAAAAGAGTGGGCGCGCTTTTCAAATCGGAGTTTTTTCACTTGAAGAGGGAAGCATTTTGCCACATTTTTTGATACTTCCCGGATGCAAAATGGTACGTTTTTTGCCATTGGGTCAGGTCCGCCACTGTATCAGCTAAGGGTGCTGTTATAACTCACGTTTTTTCTTTGCCGGTTTTGCCTTCGCTCATACCACCGTCTTTGCTGCTCTTACCACCATCCTTTGTGCTCTTACCACCATCCTTGCTGCTTTTAGCTCCGTCCTTGCTGCTCTTCGCATTGTTCTTACCCACGTTACTGTCTCCCATTTTTGCTGGTTCTCTTTGGATTCGAAGTCTTGTTTCAGCCGAGCCAACCACTCACCGTCTTGAGAATTCGTAAAATTGCCACAGCCGGTCTTTGAACTCACTCCTTTTATAATTTTGAGCTTGAAAAACTGAAAAAAAAATATTTTTTTTGTTTTTTCAGTGCAATTTATCTGTTGAACCAACTGATCTACAGTTTCCCATTCAGCCCAAGGTCATCGGAGGTGCATGCTAGGCTGGGAATTGCGAACAAGTACATTGGCGACTATCAACAAGCATTTAGAGTGAGGATTTTTTGGGGAAATGGGGATTTTTTGCGGTTTTGTGGGATTTATGTGGGGAAAATGGAATATTATGGGGTTTTATGGAAGATTGCGGTAGATTACAGTGATAGACCTGATCCAGTGGCAAAAAATGTATCATTTTGCATCCTGGAAGTATCAAAAATATGGCAAAATGCTTCCCTCTCCAAGTGAAAAAACTTCGTTTTGAAGAGCGCGCCCTTTTCACTTGGAGAGGGAGGTATTTTGCCACATTTTTGATGCTTCCCGGACGCAAAATGGGACGTTTTTTGCCACTGGGTCAGGTCCCCCACTGTATGTCTTTTAGCACCTTCGAATCGCCGCCAACGACGCGGCGGACGTCAAACTTTGCCCTCGATACGTCCTGAAATTCCACATTGCCCATTGTTTCGACCTGTTCGGCGAATTAATCCGCGCCAAGCAGGAATACAAACGAATCCTCGATGAATACGGCAAACAGAGCGACGAAAAAACCCTTCCCGCTGACATTCACTCGGCTGTGCTCCGGCAGTCGGGCTGGGTGAGCTATCGACAGTCGTTGAGTTGCGCCATAGAAGAAAAACCGAAGTTAATCAACGAAGCGGAGATGTTCCTGTCCAGCGCCGTGGAGGTAGCCAAGGCTGCGGGCCTCAGACATCTCGCCGGCCAAGCACAGTCGTTCTTGGGCAGGATTTTGAGCGAACAGCCCTCGAAAGAAGAACGGGCATTTGATAACCTTAGGGCTTATATTGATTGCGGCGGAGGCGATGCGAACACCTGGTACTGCATTGGCGAACTCTACAGCAAGAAAGGACAGCCCAAGGATGCGTTGCAGGTAGGAAAGAGGGATAGAAAATGAAAAAATTAGTAGCTGGATATTGTACTAGGCAAAAATTTTTTATTTATCGTCCATGTGATTTTATTCTGATGAAAATTTGATGAAATTGGATGTAAAATACTTCTACTGGCATTTTGTGTCAGTTGAGATGCTTGGACAATATTTTTATTCTCAAAATTGAATAAAAAATCAAAAAAATGTGGAAAAAATCATCAAAAATTAGGTGGATTAAAGTTTTTGTGCAAAAAAATAGTTCACTTGGGCTTTTTAGGGAGGATTTTATTTTTTTAACTTTGGATTATCAAAAAAGGTGAAAAACACCCGTGAAAAGTTTACTTTATTTATGTCTTTTCGACAAAAAAAAGCTTCCAAGACCACTCTTTTTGCGTCCCTTTGGCTCTCGGTCCACTCGAAAAATGGGCTCGCCGGTCGCCTCGGTAGCGCAGTGGCAGCGCGTCAGTCTCATAATCTGAAGGCCGTGAGTTCGATCCTCACCCGGGGCAGCGTATTTTTTGATGATTTTTTGTTGGAATTTTTGAATTTTTGTTGGTTAAAATAAGTTTAAGGGTTGAAGATATAGTGTTTGAAGGTAATTTTTCGTGTTTTAAAATACAAATTATAATTTTTTTTTGAAAAATTAAAAACTTTGTGTTTTTAGGCATTTGCTTGCTCCGTGGCCTTGGATCCAACCCATATTAGCTCGTGGGTGTCCGTCGGACAGCTCTACGAATCCCACAAATTGTTTAAATTTGCCCTGGACTGTTATAAAGAAGCTGTAAAGCAATCAAATCGTGAGTTTTTTCAAAATTTTCTCTTTTTTCGCCTTTTTTTGATTTTAAAAACAGATTTTTTTACTGTTTAATGTCTTCTTATTGCAATATTTATCCTTGAAATTGATTCATCGAGAACGGAAGTCGAATTCTCCGCCAAAAATTGCAGTTATCTGCCGAAAATCTTTACACAAATCGTGCGAAAAGCGAACAAATAAAAGAATGAGACATGTTCCGTCTGATTCAAGCATGTATCAGCAAATGAATTGTCTCCAAAAAGACCGTCAGGACATTCAAATGGCCATAGATTTTTTTTTGAGAAGCCGAAGAATTTTTTGTCGCCCCTTTTTGGCCAGTTGACAAAAGATTTTGCGGATGTTTTGGGGAGAAAAGGACCCAAATTTGATTCTTTTGAAGAGTTGGCGTTGATTTTTTTGGCCTGTAATTGTTTTGAAAGCCCGATTTTTGTCGGATGATGGTTGGATCGGGCAGAAAATACGTGACTTTTGCGTAGATTTTGGAAAAAAATTTGAGAAATTTTGCAATTCTTGTCTTTATTTTGTAAAATACGGCCGTAGAAATTCTGACTCGTAAATCAAAAGGCCTCGTGGCAATAGAAGAAAGGCTAAATAAATTAATTTTTAATTCTATTTTTTCAAAAAATCTCATACAGTTGGGGACCTGATCCAGTAGCAAAAACGTACCATTTTGCATCCGGGAAGTATTAAAAATGTAGCAAAATACCTCCCTCTCCAAGTGAAAAAACTTCGTTTTGAAACCGCGCTTTTGAAATCGAAGTTTTTTCACTTGCAGAGGGAAGCATTTTGCCACATTTTTGATACTTCCCGGATGCAAAATGCTTCGTTTTTTGACACTGAATCAGGTCCCCCACTGTAAATTAGAAATTTTTAAATTTGTTTCCGCCAAAAAACACTCTTCTAATTATCGTTTTATCTTCCTCAGACTCATCAAGCATCACTTTTTGATAACCATTTCCTGTCAATAATTATCGGAACTCGCCCCGCATTTCGCTCAAAAATTTTTTCCGTCGACCCGAAAAAGCGATTAATTTTTTATTCAAACGCCGCAAGAATGATGTCCAGCCACTCGTCACTCTCGTTTTTCACGCATATTAACGACTTTTATGGGCTAAAAATTTTTGGAAAAACAGTTTACGCGGGTTTTGCCCGTTTAAATTCGTAAAAATTGAATAAACCCTCAGGGTATGAGTGTATGATCGATTGAGGGTGATTTTAAAATGACGTGTTAGGGAGGAGGGTTTGACTTATGGTCAGTTTGGTGGATTAAAAGGCGAGGTTTAGCAGGAAAAAATGATTTTTTGGCCGGAAAAACTGCTCTAGAAAGTTTTTTTTCTGTTTTTTTCCCGGGTTGATGATTATATACCGTTTTTATGCAGCAATGACTTTATTAAGTAAAAATAGAGCTGATATTCCTGTTTATTTTACATATTTTTTGATGAAATTGTCCTTTATGTCTGCGAAAAATTCGATTTTTTTTTGAACTCGCTGATAATACAACGATTGTACTAGTCCTTCTGAAAGCAAAAAAAAAAACATTTTTCGGTTACATTTTTTGGATTTTTGGTCCAAAATTCAAAAAAAAACTCGATGTTTTTTGGCGAATGCAAGGTCTGGCGTATTTTTATTGTTATCTTTCTTTGCGCCAATTTTTGTCAACGCCGGACCATTAAAAAGGAAAGTGCAATCTTTCAGCCCCTTGTTTTTGAGTTCAAGCTGGGTTAACGAGCGTCGCATCGGGTCGAAATTCTTTGTTATCGTACCATTGATCGTAAAAGAATTAGGGGAATTAACGCGAATCTAATGGATTTTTAGTTTTAGTTGAGGGTTTATGTGACCCCAAGTAAAGTTTTATCGAAAAATATGCGCCGTACATGTTACAGTGTTTCCAGAAATGGAAACATTTTTAGCGAATTGGAGCGGAATTTTAAGTTTTCAATTGACAGTAATGACCTTATTGAGTTAAAATATAGGCGATAATACAGTGTGGGACCTGATCCAGTGGCAAAAAACGTCCATTTTGCATCCGGGAAGCATCAAAAATATGGCAAAATGCTTCCCTCTCCAAGTGAAAAAACTTCGGTTTGAAGGGCCTTTACACTTGGAGAGGGAAGCATTTTGCCACATTTTTGATGCTTCTTGGATGCAAAATGGTACGTTTTTTACCACTGGATCGGGTCCCCCACTGTATTATCGTCTATATTTTAACTCAATAAGCTCATTACTGTCCATTGAAAACTTAAAATTCCG